CCAGCTTGTCTAATTTTTGCTGTTTCCATTAAACCTGCGTATCGTAATTGTCGAACGCAAAGAGCACGATCAAAAAGCTAAAAGTAATGAAAAATTGAATTAAACTGGTTTTCAAATTGCGTAGTTGACATAATTATCATAATCTTGGTAATTATAATATCTAAAATTGAATTTAAAATGCGTACATACCCTAGGTTTTTTGTGTTCATTTGGTTTAATACATCTTACAAAGAATGGATGGCACGCGTAAAGTGTCTTCATAAGGGCATCTAAAGATGTCTTAAATTGGTAACTGAGGGACACTGTCTTTCTACTTCCACTCTGAGACACAGACTCCATTGGAAAAAGGCACTTTAGAAAATCGTTACTAGAATCCATGATCATTTCTTTTACGTCGGACGTCAACATGTCCCTATTTTTATCAAGAAAACCTGTAATAAATGTTACGTTAAATTATAAAGTCTTATTTACTTAGAAATAGACAGAAATCCGTACCTTTAACTTCATAATATACAGCGCCAGCATAATGCCTAACACCAAATCTGTGTTCATGTGTGGACTTTGGCGTAACATAACTGTTGTTGTTGCTATGATTGCTATTAAGTTTAGATAGAAGAGTGATATCAGTGCCTTTAGGAAACCTAGACTCCTCGTCTATGAGCGATAACAAGTTCATTGGCTTCAGTCCGATCATATCTAAATTCATCTGATTGTCCACATAGTTGATATTAGTCCATGTGATGCCCTCTTTTTGGTACTGTTCTTGTTCAATTTTAAAAATATGTTTGACGAAAAATTGTTGCAAATTTTCGTTAGCGTAATTGATACATAGTTGCTCGAAACTATTTGATAGAAAATTTTCAAACCCAAATATATCTAAAATACCGACGGAACCACTGGACAGCTCTTGATCTTTGCGTAGCGTTTTGTTAATAGTTTCTACAATATATTCGAAGACGTGTCCGTAAATAGCTTTAACTAGTGCATCTCGCCCTTCTATTGCTGCCGATGCTGATAATGTGGACACGACTTTATCTCCTTGAGCAATCAATGTTTTTTTTGTTAGTGCATCGCAAAAAGTAGCTTTACTGACACCAAGAATATTTGCAATCCTGGTCGCATTCGTTGTATCTGCTACTTCAGAAGAGTCGATGTTATTCAAGTTAAATGATTTAAATTTCAAATTTCCTAAATGTAAAATGGCTGCTAAAAGACTAAAAACTCCCCACACTTCGTTTTCTGGGAAATTAAGGACCTTGAACGCAGATCGTATGTCTGCAAATTCAAGAGCATCGTTTCTTCCATCACAAGTCAACATGTTACCGGAATTTAGATAAATATAATCCGACGGACGACCTAGTTCAAGTTTTTTCTTCTCATCGGCAGACAGTCCTGTTACGAGTGAGTAGAATATGTGATAATTACGTTCTCCTTTATTTTGAAATACAATTCGTGATCTTTCTAAGAGATATTGATCAATATTTCCTCCTTCGATAACTCCTTGCTTGTTGAAGTAAATGTTAATGTACTTCCCAAATCTGGACGAATTATCGTTCTTTACAGTTTTGGCGTTACCAAACGCCTCTAAAATAGGATTCGTTTCTTGTATTTGCTGCTCGATCCATGAATGTTTTCCGCTGGCAGCAGCTAGGTACTGCAATAGTAACTTCGTGCTTTCCGTTTTACCTGCACCACTTTCACCGCTGCAATTTCAGAATTTATCTTAAATATGAGTTTTATAAAAGAGGTACATCATTTTTTTGTTTACTTCTTGTTTACCTTATAACGATGCATTGATTAGATGAAGTTCCCAGCAGTTCTTTGTACGCATTATTTCCAATTGCAAATATGTGAGGTGGAATCTCACCTACGTTTCTATCTTGATAAAAATGTATTTGATCCATTGTGTATATCGGCAAGATTTCGTAAGGATTTAATGCAATTAACATAGTTCCTGTGTATGTCTGTAAAATAAATTGATTTTTAAAAACTGATTATTGTATTGTTTACAATATATAATAGTTCTCGCCCGTGACTTCGTTCACGTGGAATGAAAAAAAGAAACAAAAGAAAGTACCCTGTGTGTTCTACTAGACTATCCTCTACATCTATGACATATTTATTCGAGATTCGTTTAGCAGTTTAGGCTACATACTTTAATAAATACCCATCCATGCATATAAACTTTCGCATTTATAATATTAGGATTAGTAAGATAACATTGAAGTATGTTGGTACAGTTATCAAAATTTTGTTTTCTTACGTATATCAGCTGCCGATTATAGCGTATGTGTAGGTTACGAAGGATCGTATGCTCCTGTAATTCTCCGAGAGTGATCATGTCTTCCACACTTTGTACAGATGTGGCATGTAAAGGTTTGATAACATTTGTAACAGATGTACTGAACACTTTGCCATCGTCATCTTGAACTTGTATCAGACCTCCGGAACTGTTGAGTATTTTAACGACAATCGGTATATCGAATTCGGATTTCCCTTCCGGCTGAAGCCAGACTAAGTCCTACAAAAAACAAAGTAATTCAAGGAAATCCCCGATAACGAATGTCACAGAAGTTTATACTGGGATAATTGAGGTTATAAAAAATATCTATAAAATAATTAAGTACTTACTGAGAGACGTATTCTATCGGCCATTTTAAATTTTTGAGATTCCACTCACTGAATTGTTATTTTTCCCCGGACCCAAACACACACATATCGGCGGCAAAACATCACCACGAATACTGGAATTTTTATCAATGTTCTAGATTATTTATCATTATTGCATAGATATAACTCTAACTTATCAGAAGGTATTTTGAGATAGTCACTTTAAAACATTTACCTCATAGCCTATCAATGTATGGACTCATAATTCATTTTACATATCTGTGATGATTAAGCTATGCATTTTTGTTTTAACTTTTTGTGTAATGTATTTTGGGCGTCGCTAACCGATGATCCAGACTAGGTGTAGGGGCAGCTACTAAGAGTATTATCTTATTTAAAGTAGTTTTTATGTTTTTTTTTTTATATTTTTGACTCTAGGGTAAATCTACCCCCTGACTGGTATGGATATTGTTAAAATAAATGCTACATTTTAAACAACAACAGTAATTTAAAGCTGTAGAAGTTAAAATATGTAGGTGACACAAATCCTACTTAATAAGTGGTTTTAAAAAAACAAATTTTAGGTTTAGTAAATACAATTTATTTAAAAATAATGCATCATTACAAACAACTTAAACTATTGACGATTCACTTTTACTTTTTCTTTTCATCTTTTTCTTTTTTATCTGCTTTTACTTTATCTTCCGTCTTCTTGTCATCTTTATCATCTTTCTTCTCCTTTTTATCTTTCGAGTCATCTTTTTTCCCTTCTTCTGCATCTCTATTTGTTATTTTGTTATTGATAAGGTTGTGCAAAGCAATGATAGATCTCACCAACGCAGCTAAGTATACAACAAGTGATTGATCATTAGTCTTGATATACAAATTATCAATAAAATTATCACTAGCAATATCAGGCAATAGGTTAAAGATATCTTGTAACTGATAAATTATTTGATGGTTCATAGGTAATGATCCCTGACCGACTTGAATGAGGTAATCACGGATTTCACTTAGTTGAGAATGAAGCCCACGGAGGCCAAGTAACTGATTGGTGATTCGCTGTGAGAGACTACCAACGGTTGTGTCTTTAATGTCTCGCAGTAAATGTTCAACTCCTACTTCTTCAGCCTCCTCTGCACCTATTTCACTGGGCACATGTTCAAATGTTCGAGTGGTAGGACTGCCATCATCATGAACCTCTTCAACAGCCTGGTATGCTTCAGTGGGCAAGCCCAGGTCTTTTGGCTTAGCATCAATGATAACAAGAACAGAGTTGGGGCAATAACGTCTGATCAACTCATTTATTGCAACATCATTTTGGTGGAGTTTAGGCCCAGTGTGGTACCAGCCGACCACTTTTTCACGGGCATTGACTTTCTTAAACATGCCATACATGTTTTCAAGGTAATCATGGTCTAAGAACCAAACTGACTTGTCTTTGTCATCTTCATCAAAGGGAACTGAAAGGAAAAAAAATGATTTACTAAGAAAATTTCTAACAAATAAATTGAATGGGTTGTCGAAATGGAATATTATCACAGTTAAAAGACTAAGGAGTTTGTCTGGAGACAATCTACTAGTATTATATCAAACAATGTAAAGGCAGGTTAATTATAGCTGACTAAAATAGGTCCTGTAAAAATTGTCACATTTTCTAATCACACACATCTAAATATTCCACTGAAAAACAGGATTATCCGTAAAACACTAGACAGAAATCTATTTTGTTAATTAAGATAACTGTAAACAAAATACGGCAGTGCTTACTGACCTGCAAAACTGTTTGAAACGTCCAAAACTCCCTTGGCTCTCCAACAACCTAACAAAACGCCTACAACCCGTTTTTGATTACCAATTTTTCCCATACGGTTAAAATGGTCCACAACGCTCAATAGTACCAAAGGGTGGACCACAACCTTTGTCGTTACAACTTCCTGACTCGGCATTTTGTTGTATGATTTAAACTTATTGTTTATTTGATACAAAAAGCAGCTAATATTGCAACGACTTCTATTTTTAAAATAATTTATCTATTGTAACATAAAAACTTTTAAGTGAGCTAAGTGTTAAATTTTTATTTAAATTATTTATCACGAAGAGAAAAGAAAATCTGACAGTCATTCATAGATAAAATATTTTGTACGACGTATGAAAAATGTCTTTGAATTACACAGATAAGATTGTGTAGTGCCATAGTTAAAATTGAGACTAATGTTTTAACCACTAATAATATTATAAATGTGATTTTTCGTATGGCCTAAAATTCGAAGATTTTTTAAGATTATCGAGAAAGTAGAATGTTATATATTAGTTTTGTATTTAAGTACTTTTTTCTGAACAAATTCTCTGTTGTCATTATTTGACACTTTCTTTAACATTAAAAAAGCTGTCATTGTCATACTTTCGCATGTAATTTTGCAATAAATGTTATTAAAATTTTTCTTTGTGTCATATGTTTAATTAAAAATTAAGGAACTTTAATGACATAAATCACCATATAAATATGACGCAAAGAACGCTTACATTTGTGACAGGCAATATTAAAAAATTGGAAGAGGTTAAGGCTATCTTAGGTGCCAATTTTCCATTCGAAGTAACAAGTCATAAACTAGATTTACCAGAATTACAAGGGGAAATCAAAGAGGTATCCATTAAAAAGTGTCAAGAAGCAGCACGGCGCTTAAAGAAACCTGTAGTTGTTGAAGATACATGTTTATGTTTTAATGCATTGAAAGGGTTACCTGGTCCGTATATAAAGTGGTTTTTAGACAAATTAGAGCCGGAAGGTTTGACGAGGCTATTAACAGGATGGGAAGATAAATCTGCAGAAGCTGTTTGTACTTTTGCATATTGTCCTTCCGGTGATAGTCATGATGTAATACTATTTCAAGGAAAAACAGCAGGAACGATTGTATCTCCGAGAGGGACACGCGATTTTGGATGGGATTGTGTATTCCAACCTGACGGCTACAACATGACATATGCTGAAATGCCTAAACATGAGAAAAACAAAATATCCCACAGGTACAAAGCCTTAGATAAATTAAGAACATATTTTATACAGAATTGTCATTAGCTATCTTAAATATAGTTGTAGAGCAAATCTATCCATTATTTTATTTAATGCCAAAAAATGAAACTCAAGTACATAGTGTAGTATATTTTTCTGGGCTCCTCAACCACAGTTAACACATAAAAGTTTAAAGTTATTTTTTAATAATTTAAGGAAGTAGTAATAATAAACAGTAACTTTATTGTATGATATTATATTTATAGTTTACAGTAAATCAATAAACATTATAAAATAGCACAGAGTTAAACAGTAAATAGTTGATTTCTTATGTTCTAATATATGTCCATAAGAAGTATGGATACCAGGTGCAATATAAGGCTCTAAATTAGACTTATTATAATTTTTATAGTACCAGTCTTTATCGTCTTCATTTTTTGTCCTTGTGTTTGTTTGAGTTTGTGGAAATCGTGTTTTAGGCTCTCTATTATTGATCAGAGTATAATTAGATACAGGATGTTCTAAATGTGGGAGGTTGACTTTTGTAATTGTTGCTGGCCGCTTATATTCACGCCTCTCGAGTTCTTCATTACTTGGTATTAGTACAGCTGAAAGTGCTGTTGGTTCATTTATATGTTTTTTCATAGGTGGTTTTACAGCAGGCATTGGTGCTGGATATGGTATGCTTGTTGTGGATTCCATCCATGCTTGTATAGATAAATCATTGCTTGTGTCAGTTGTTATAATACTTTCTTTCTCTGTTACTTGTTCTATTGTTAAATTGGACTCCATGGAATGATATTGATTTAAAACACTTGGACTACTCTTACGCTCTTCCATATTTTTAGTCAGATTATAAGATATTTGGGTGGCATTATTATTTTTTGAGAATACTTCATATATTTCACTTTTTGATTTAGTATTTACTATGTTATTTCGATTTGGTGCTCTTGGTGGTAGAAATTCTGTTGCAACATTTTTTTTCTCAGTTTCTGTATTTTGATAAGTTGTATACTCCATTTTAGCAATTGTACCTTGTGTGGTATCAGCCACTGGCATTGTAGGGCTTGGTATGGGCATAAAACCACCATCAGTTGTTGGCAACATTGGTGTAAAACCACCAGTTTCGAATTTTGGCGTTTCTAAAACCGGCGATTGGTATTTGGTCATTTGTGGTTGTTTTCGTTTTTCAAACCAATCTATTTTCCGGCCTGTATTTAGGAACTTGCTCATATCAATGGATGGGAGAGGCATGCCAAAAAATGTGAATCCACTCCTTGGGGCATTGGATGGCGTTACTGGATTTAGAGTACTCATGTTTTTAATATTCGTGTTTAATTTCGAAGGACTTAGTATACCATCTTGGGTCTTTTCATTAGTTTGCGTAAAATTGTTTTGATTGCTAATGACATCCATAACAGTCTCATTAAATGGATAATCAACGTAGTCATCGTAAAAATAATCAGATTCTTCTGGCGTAGGGCGTGTGTTGATTTTGTTAGCCTGTAAGTTATTCTTTTCTTGTGTTATATAACCATTGATTTTATCCGACGACGAGAAAACTTGCGACGTTGCTAAATTTGGTAACAATGCTTCATTTTCATGCGTTATGCAGTCTCTCAAATTGTCATTGCGTATTGGTGAGTTAAGACAATCATTCCGGGAGAAGGGCATACCTTTAACGTATGTGCCGTCCGCACATTTAGGTCCAATTGACGTTGATTCTAATAACCATGATTTTAACCACATCGCAGCGCAGTTGCAAATAAGCGGATTACCTAAAAATGTAAACAATTTATTGTGACTTTTATAACAGGTAAAAAATTACTTTCGTCTTTTATTTGTCACTTACCATCTATATCTAAAATCGCGATGTTGTTTCTAAGTTTTTCGAAATTGGTTTCTGCTACATTTGTAAGTTTGTTATAGCGCAGTGAAAGAACTTTGAGCCGTGGCATTGAATTAAACGGTTGGCCACTTATGTGACAAATTTTGTTATTATCAAGTGTTAATTCTACCAGCCATTCCATGTATTGGAATGATTCAGTTGTTATTTTCGTTAACTTATTAAAACTTAAATCTAGAACTTCTAAAGAAAACAATTGTCTTATTCCAGAACTTTCCAAATTCGTAAGTTGGTTGTTGCTGACGTTTAAATACTGTACTAATGGTGTGTTTTCAAATGCACGTGCTGATATAAATTGTAGACGATTTCCTTGGAGTTCTATAATTCTTAACTTTGGTAAATTTGAGAATACGCGATCAGGAATATCAATTATATGATTCCTGCTCAAATAAATTGATAGTACGTTGGGGAGATTGGCTATAGCCATGGAATGTATTATTTCAATTTTGTTACTGTCCATGTCAATTGTTTCAAGATGTTTTAAATCTCTGAAACTACCACTTCGTACTTCTATTATTTTGTTGTATGGTAATTTTATTTCTTTTATCATTTGTAAGTTGCTTATTATGTTGCCGTCAAAGAATTTTATGTGATTGAAACTGGAGTCTAATATTATAAGTTTTTCAAAAACATTCAGGCTTGTTGGAAGTTCATAAAGATTGTTTGAAGATATATTTAAAACTTCAATCTCCAGCGTTTTTTCAGCTATCTTTGGGTTTATACTCTTTAGTTTATTTTTACTAAAGTCTAGTGTAGATAGTTTATTATTGTCTTTGAGGATCATAAAATCAAAATTATCGATGTTATTCCCATGTAAATTTATCTGTTTAAGTGATAATAGTTTTGTGAAACTCTTCAAATGAATTGATATGATTTGATTGTAGCTTAAGTCTAAAACTTCCAAACGTGTGACATCACTGAATGTTGTAATATCAATTTGTCTAAGACCATTACGTTTCATATAAAGCCGCCTTAGATTGTGAAGTGTTTTAAATGTTCCAGTAGCAATTCTTTGTATACCATTGCTTGAAATGTCCAATGTTCTTAGTGATGGTAAGTCTAAATCTGGAGACGGATGCACTGGTAAGCTAGTAATTTGATTCCTTTCCACGTTTAACTGCTCTAAACCTCGCGGCAAACCAGGTATGAATTCAATAAGTTTATTTGAACTGGCGTCTAGTTCGTAAAGACTTGCTAAATTTCTGAATGTAGCAGGATGTATTGAAACTAGCTCGTTACCAGATACGTTTACATATTCTAATAACGGCGTTTCAATGAACGTTAAAGGATCTATAACTGTTAATTTGTTGTTGCTAATATTTATTCTTCTAAGTGATGGAAGGTTGTATAATAATTTAGGTTGTAATCGTTGAAAATAATTATGAGACAAATCTAAACCCTTTAAAGATGGCAAGTTCCAAAATGGACCTTCGTTCAGATCGCCTAATGAATTCTTACTTAAATGAAGTTCCCTCAGAGCTGGCATGGCAACAAATGCTTCACCTTCAATAAATTTTATACTGTTACTATTAAGATGTAATCTTTCTAAGCTCGGATGACCTCTGAGGGCTCCTCTGGGAATTTCCTCAAGTAAATTGTCACTCATATCTAAAAATCTCAGTCTTGGTAGAGCATCTAGTAATGCGCGAAATTCAGAAATGTGCATGATCTTATTTCCAATCAGACTTAGTTCCTCCACCCCACTACTAGACTGTTGTAAGAATGATTCGGGATGTATTCTTATGATGTTGTTAAAATTTAAATCGACGATACGCAGCTTTGGTACTCGGTGAAACGCTCCGTGATGGATAATATTTATATTGTTATGAGATAAATATAACGTTTCTAGCATTGTCTGATCGACAAAAGCACCTTCGTTTAGTTTGTCTATAAGATTGTAATTAAGATTTAATAAAGTTAACATAGGCAAATCTCTGATAGCTCTACCGACCATAGTTGCATCAAAAATTTCATTATTACTCAATGATAACTGCTTAAGATTAGGGAGCAATGAAAATGCTCTCATATGCATATGCGTTATGCCACAATCAGTTATTTCCAACGTTTTTAACGCTGGTAAGTTGTAAAAGGCGTTTTCTTCTATAATATGCAGATTTCCACTTCCACGAATAAATAATCTTTCAAGATTTGGTAGATTAGCGAACGTTTGTTTTGTAATACTGGTCAAACTTTCCGTTTCTATACTGATGTATTTTAGTTTTGGATTGTTTACGAAGGGAGGAATTCGTCGTAAGCTGTCGGAATGAATAGTAATGGCTTGAGCATGTTGTAATTTCGCCAAGCTCTCGGCTGGTATACTTTTTAATTCATTTTCAACTATGAATATTTCAACTAAATTCATCTCTTGTGTCTCCAGCCATGTTGCCGACATACGTTCGATTCCATTGTGACGCAACATTAGCCTTTGAATTATTACATTTTGAAATATCTTCCCTGGTAATGATGGTAGATAGTTATTTTCAATTATCAATTCGTCTATAGGTTTTCTTACAAATTCGCCAATTTTTTGTACACCTTTTAATACTTGCTGTAGATCGCTGTGTGTACACCTGAAAAATGACAATAATTAGAAAAGTAATTTAGACACTAAAAAATTTGAATAAAAAATCTTACCATATCTGAACATCTTCGTTTCTGTTTGTGCAAATGCATGGCAGTATTGTATCAGGTGGGGGGCACACAGCGAACACTTCAGATAAACATGTTAAACCTAACGTTAACCATAAGAAAACCGTTCCCGATTTGATACCCATGCCTTAGTTTCTTCAGCGTAACTCATTGTAGCATTGCCTACAATATTTTTAATACGTACCTGAAACAAAGGTCGAAAGATTTCTTTATGTAGTTTCTCTTAGACATAATACTGCAAATGTCATAAGTGTTCACCAAGCACTAGGTATTTTTGTTTGCAACAAAACAAATATTGCGTCAAGGACTTACAGACACCATTAAAAACAATAAAATCTGAAGACAATGGTCCAGTGGCACGATACGCTAGGTTGCACTTTTACTTTCATACTATTGTTCCTATTTGTACACTATGAAATATAAGTACGATTTAACTATTTCGGATATTACATAAACAGCTCAATTCTTTATTATTAAAGTATATGTAATAATTTGTGTATTGTCTTAAGTGCCAGTACTTTTAACACACATTGTCTGTCCGATAATTAGGATTATGAAACCTTACATATAATGTGCAGATATCAATTAGGCTTTTGTTTGTTTTTTTTTTTACTTAATTAGTAGTTAATGTTTTATATTTATAACTAACTTAGAATGCGATTCTATACAGCTTCTACTACTTTAATAAACGAGACAATAATGAAGAAATTTTCTACACTTGGAGACAAACGTAAGTCGTGACCAGTGAACGAAACGGGTGAATATTACGGTATGTCACGTTATACACTTATCTCTAACATGGTTCTAACTGTCACAAGAAACGTCATCGTATTGTTAAATTGCCCTTTACGATTTACGAGTACCTACTGACTATCATTGGAGTTCACTTTTTTACCTATTTGTATCTGATTCAGGGAATTTAATTTCACCCTTGTGATACGACTACAGCTTAGTCACCCTATGGGTAGGCTCCGAGCCCCTCGGTGGCGACGTATAGTGTGCTGGTGATGATTATAGTGATATATTTTAGTGAAATTATTCATTCATCGGTCAGTGCTACCGTTGAACAAAGAGCTTTTGGAAATATTGTTTAATAATGTCCTGAATATTATAGCTAAAGTGATTAAGATAGAAAAGATAGAAGCGTATCTATTGCTCTATTATTATTGCAAGTTTTTTTAATTAATGGTATTATAATTTAAACATTGATTACATGATTCGAAAATGTACAGTAACTATTACATAAATAGCCGAATTAAATTTAAAAATAAAGTGAACAAAAAAAATATAACTAATAATATACTTGATTGTACGAATTATCTTTAAATTATCATTACGTGTAAAAACTGCTGTTTTTGCTCTGTTAAATAAAATAGAAACAATATAATAGAGCGATCTAGATATTGCAATAGCGGGAAAACGGCTCAGATTAGTGTCATGTCAAAGTATTTGAAAGCTGTGGCAATGCGCCGGCGCATGCTAGATACTTATCATACACTGCATTTGCAGGTGCATTTTTAAAAGAAATAAAACCTTAAACCGTGAGACTGTAATTTATACATTGGACTACATTTTTCATAAATTCGGTAAAACTAAAGAAAGTTAAAATATTTAGTAAAAAAAAAATGTAAATCCTTTTTATATGAGACTATCTAAACTGTTTTTTTAAACAACGACCAATGCATAGTAATCGTTGATGACAATAAATAAGCTTCCCGAAAACAAAGATTAACATTTACTAACAACGCATTATAATACTGTTAAGATTAAATTATTTTATTTAAATTTTAAGAACATTTTAACCGATATGATATTACAATGTTTTTGCAATATCGCTTTTCACAGTTATGTATAATTTGTAACCGCTATGCGGACATTGTAATTTTTACCTCATTAGTAATAGCTCACTGCATAATTATTATAAATTACATAAGAATTCAGTTATCTTGATATATTATGTAAGATTTTTGTCATAATAAAAATCTATACCTCCTATTCCTGTGAAAGTCATCTTAAATTTTTTTATAGTGTTTATTAATAAAATAGACAAGTTAAAAAAAGACCAACACAATACTTACTCGTGTATAGATTATCCAAGGATGTATTTTGTTTAAAATTTATATGCTTTCTAAAATAACTTATAGATTCCGTCTATTCAAGCCTTTTGTTTTGTTTACATTAAATCTACTTCCACCATATCCAGAGGTCTGGACAAGCGATGTTCTTACAAGACAAACACCGACTGTGTTGAGGAGACCATTTTGCATGAACGTCGGACTTTCGGTTCATGGCTCGATGCGCACCAAGACACTTATCTTTCACCATTGTGGCGCGTGCCAGCATATGCAACCTATTACAACACAGATGTACAACTTAGTAAAAAAGTCTGATAGACCCTTAGTTTTAGTAGGAAACTATTATTCTGGCTAAAATTGTTAGGCAGTACTCAAAACACGCGATATTAAAGTTCTTTTGTGATGAGTAATCTAGACAATGACCTCATAAACGTTGCAAACCTGTTGGATAAAGTTTGGTACAAAGTTAAAATGTCAATTGAAGGTGCTCTTTCTGGAGATATCACATATATCAACTGAGAAACGAATTCTGGCCAATCCGAGATATCAAAATAACAAATGAAGTCGTCAAACGATAAACCATCATGTTAAAAACAGTCGGAAAAATCGATTAGAGAAGCTGTTATTACGGATATTTATAATTTTAGCTTATTCACTTTGGCCTACTGCGTAAATGAAATTGTAAACATTAGCATAAGATTTTTTGTTAGGTCATAATCATAAGACATCACTGTGAGATGACGTTTGTTTGAAAACTGATAAAGCAAGCATTTTTACTACGCTTATCTTCTCGAGAACGTTGATTAACATAGTGATGGGTTTATTTTTCCTGACCTTGTCAAGTTTGCTAAAATCTTTCAACATCTTACAAACTTCTCGTTATATCCGAGTAAAAAAATTTACGTTAAAGCTATTAGTTCTTTCTGTTTAGTTCATCTTTGAGTATAATGTTGCTAAATAATTGCATCAGTTGCATGAACGACTTATCTAGATTAATTCCAGTGCTGTGGTAATAAGGAAGGGTGTTTGGACAATAAGATTGTCACAATAACTTTTAAGACCAAATCTTATCATTCACGTATACGGTAATATACGGTAATATAAAAATTCATGACTGGTTTGAATAATTTTTTTAAGTCGGAGCAAGTTGCGTATCTTATGAAATACATTTCATTCTACTAAAAGAAGTGATACAAAAAGATCGACATCAATTAAGTTTTTTGTAGAAAGTGAAAATCTTAGTATTGATTTTTTTACACCCAGACATCAATCGTAATGATTTGTTTTGCCTAAAAACCTGTTTGCAAATTCGGTATATCCGCATCACTCGATGGCCTTGAACATAACAAGTTCTTAATCAAAGAGGAAAAAATATGTGACTACGTTTGCCAATTTTTTGCAATACTCTGTGCGAAATTGTGCTGTTCAATATAAGGATTTTTTCCTGTATGCAATAAACTATTCTATAAACTTGTCACGATAATAATAGAGATAGAGTTTACGTATTCAATGTAGATTCATTACTTAAACGTTACTATACCTACTTTCAATTGTCAATTGTTATGGTAAAAATGTAGAAAGCCTTACTTATAAATATCACTGCATACCTAGGCTGACACCGACATCAAAGTAATAATAATTGTACAATATAGACATAACAGTTACAATAAGGGAGAATTACTATTTTCGAGGAATTATTTCGTTACTTTTTAGTGTACTGTTTTTTTGAGAATATTTTCTTTTTTTCTTTTTCTTGTTCACTTCGTACCTGTTGGAATATACAGCAATAGTTTTCTTTCATGAAGTGATTCGTTTTGTATTTACTATTATTAAATCGATTATTTTAATTTTAATTTAACCATTAGTAAATTCCATATAATGTGGTAGAGTTTCAGAGATATATTAAAACAGACCACTACTAATTATTTATTCTATTTCGATTTTTATAATCGTTTGGTATCTTTTCACCAATTTTTACTCTATAAAAAGTAATAAAACAAACAATCTTAGAATCGGATATTAAATATAAGGAAAAAACATATTAAAACTTTATTGTTACTGAATAAAGTCTGTTAAGTACTTATGTAAACAATTATTATGTATTATAATCATGTTTCTAAATTTCCTTCCATCGAAAATTTTTCCTTCTACCAAAATGCGTAAGCAAGGCCGCTAAGGCTTCGTGACACACCTACTTTTAAGCCAATCAAAAGACTTTATAAATTTATCTCGACGAGCCTTCGAATCGTGGCGAATTTAGAAACGCAGTCTCTCGTATAGAACCAGTTTCAATATCTAATACTAAAAAGATCTTTACATTTACGTTCTCAGTCAGTCACACCTTACCTTTTGGTTTACGCACTCCCTTATCGCGTCTCACGATCAGTTCTAACAAGAAATAATTTATATTACATATTCTAAAATGTCTTTAGTAAAGAAAACATTTCAGGGTGCAATTAAAATAGGTATCCGAAGTTACAGTGCTAATAATGGTTTTATTAAACCACCAAAAATCCTAATTACCGGTGAGTTTTAGACGGAATTTTATAGACACGTGATTAATGAAAGTTATACTGTAACAATTTTCTTTTTTTTTGTTCTTTATGTTGCTTTACCTAAATTGTATTACCATTGGAAATCAGTTATATTTAGTATTGGGTTTAAATTTTGTTTTTTTTTTGTGTGTATTTTTTTATACAATCATAAATTAAATGTTTAAAAATCCCTTGTTATACATTTGTGTAGTCTTGTCTATTTTGTTTTATTTAAAAGACCAAATCCGTGTTGAAATTTGTTATTATTCTTATTAAAAATATAGCATCTGCAGCATGGATAGGAAAATTATTTAAATATACGTCTAATGTTATTTTATCGTATGGCGCATCAAATATATTGCAATTAAAAACATGTTTATTTGCTCAAACTAAGCTCCGCAATGTAATTTGCAATGTAAACAAAGAATACCTATCCTTTGTAATAATAAACGCGGAGTGCGGTTACAAGCATTATCTGCAGGTGAATGTTCCCAATACAATATCAATATGTCATATTTAAATGTTTGTAACGCTGCCTATTTTTTACTCTGATTCATCTATGCTAGTAAATGCTATATTATCTATGATTTTATTTTACTTACATAAATTACGATTGGTTTTATTACTTAAGTTATTATTACTTTGTGTAGAGATTTTGATAGTATTTGAACTAGTGTTAAGATAAGGTAGCGAATTCGAATCCAAATATTTTTATACGCTTTTACCGCATTTAACCATTAAACTACTGGCACTTAGTAGTATTTGGACGATCTAATTTTTAAGACAACTATTTCAGGTGGCCTTGGACAACTTGGAGTTGAATGTGCTAAACATCTACGAGGAAAATATGGAAAAGACAATGTAATACTTTCCGATATAATTAAACCTTCGACGGAAATATTTAACGACGGTCCATACATATTCGCGGACATCTTGGATTTCAAAGGATTACAGAAAATTGTTGTCGACCATAGAGTTGACTGGTTGATACATTTTTCTGCATTACTTAGTGCTATCGGTGAACAAAACGTGCCTTTAGCGGTTCGTGTGAATATAGAAGGGATGCATAATGTCATAGAACTTGCTAAGCAATATAACTTAAGGATATTTGTGCCAAGTACGATAGGCGCATTCGGCCCTGACTCGCCAAGAAACCCGACACCTAATATAACAGTGCAACGACCTAGGACTATCTATGGTGTGTCGAAGGTGCATGCGGAATTGTTAGGCGAATATTATCATTATAAGTTCGGATTAGATTTCCGTTGTTTAAGATTCCCCGGAGTTATTTCAAGTGATCCACCCGGCGGAGGAACTACAGGTATACTTTTTAATATTTCACATTCGGAATAAAATTATTAATACCAGCTACTTTATAAGCCCTTTAGCATAATATAAACTGTTTGCAGAAGGTTTGCCGATTTTTCTCCTCAGCACTGTCAGTTAATGCGTGACGTCACGCGGTCATCGGCAAAGCTTCTGCGAACGAGTAGTAATGTTTTTCTTGATTGTGTACGTTCCATTATGCCTACAAATTTGTAGAGTGTAGTAGATATTATATTCTATCGATAGTAATATTATTTATATCAACAATAATACCTAAATGAACATTAATTATAAACAACGTAGTAAGTGCACTGAAAGCAGTAAACCGATTAGAAATACCATGACAATCGGGTTTACTACTCTAACCTACATTTACTGACATTGAGCCCATGAATATTATTAAGATAAAGGCTTAACTTAGCAACTACGATAGCAACGAAATAAGTTATAAAACTTTTATCGTGAATCTCGTAAAACTTTACTTTTCAACTTGTAACAATAAAAAACTTCACACCTTTCAGATTACGCAATTGCTATATTCCACGAAGTGCTTCGCAAAGGTCACTACGATTGTTATTTGAAACCTGACACAAGACTGCCAATGATGCACGTCAGAGACGCGCTCCGAGCGCTCTCAGAATATCTGGAAGCGCCTAACGAAATGCTGCAGCGGCGTGTGTACAATGTAACGTCTATGAGCTTTACGCCAGAGGAGTTGGCTGACGAAATGTTCAAACATTTGCCTGATTTTACGCTTTCATATAAACCAGATAGCAGGCAGAATATTGGTTAGTACTTTTTTCCGCATCACATTTCACTTGCCGAATATTATAAAATTGTATATATTCTGTCATTCCAATCCATGTAATTTTGCCAGAGGATTTTTAACGCCCGTTAATTTTAAATAGCAAATACTACTCACTTTTGCAATTTTTTTTTGGTTAGTTAAATATGTAATAAGCAATGTGTATATTTTCCAGCGGATTCCTGGCCACAAGTATTCGACGACAGCGAGGCTCGACGTGACTGGAACTGGAAGCCAGAAATAGATATGGACAATCTGGTGAAACTGATGCTAAAGGAAGTAAAAGAAAAAATTGCCGCAAACGGATTATGAGTAACTCTAAAAACCACGCAAATTAATTATATTTGAATACAATAAGAGCTAATTTTATGTAGGTTTTCGCTTATAAGTTATTCGTTTTTAGATAACAGCATAAACATTGTGACAATATCGAAAATTAGTATTTGAACGCATATTCTGTTTGAATTCATGTTCTGTATTCGTAAACCATTGCTATGACGAAACAAGAAAATTGTGAACATTTTTCCTTCTTAAGATACTTTTAAAATATTATTTATATTTAGCTTAAATGTACGAGGATGTATTATTATATTTAGTAAGTATTAATTTCTAAATTAAGTAGATTTATTTTTAGTTTTTAATTAAATTTTGCCCACTTGTTTGTAAAATGTATATTTGAAAAAATATATAAAAAGTGATAGTAAAACGTCAATTCTATTTTAACAACTCATTTATTGAAGCGACCATACAACATACATACATTTTTTGTATTTACATTATTAGTTAAGCTATTTAACCAAAATTCCATAAAACGAGGTTATAAAGCCATCAAAGCATATACATGTGATATTTATTGTCAATAAAATATAGATATGGTTTAGTTACATTTATTTAAAAAATAATTGTGATATATTTGAAAGAAAAATGGATTAAATTAACATAAGTACCGTTGCCATAGTTCATAATTTTTGGGTAGTTGACAAAAAAATTAAGGACAAAGTTATTTTGATATGTAAAAAATTGTGTATTCTTGTTATATTTAAATATAATTTAATTTTTGTGTATGATAGAAAAGACTAGATTTTTTTTTCGTAATCTTACCAAGAAACAGAAATATTTTTCATACATCCGCGCACAGCGCCTTTGATAACTAAAAAGCAATTTTTTTTTATAAATTACGTTAACAATTCGTAAACCAAAAAGACTAGTTTATACAATTAACACTGAACTGGCAACTTTTGATACATTTCACGTTTGTGTTGATTTAAAAATTATAATAACACGCAAAAACAAACGCACAATCAGTCTTTCAAATAACAACGGCAACGCGAGTCCACACTACATACATTCTCTAAGATTCTACGGACGTAACGATTGTACCACTATCGTACTAAAATTCTAAATAACATTACTTCTTGATTGATTCTATTTTAAACTATAGCAAGATTTTGCCGAACCTGTGGATTACGAAAGTAAAAAAGAATTTTCTAGAAGAAATACAAAATAAATTTTTTGAAATTTATCAATTAAAAAAATTGATACGCACACAAAAAATAGTATTGAAAAATTAAAAAAATCAACTTCTACAACATTTTTAAAACATTTATAAACGAGAATGAAAGCCCTGTTATTTTTTTTTAGTTCAGATAAAGATATTGCGTAATAATAGAGATCGATAACAAAATAACGAAAACAAAACGATTAAGGACATTTGTGTACGTAAAAAATAAAAGTCATGATTAAAATATAATTTGGATCTGAGAGTCTATTACGAAATTTTGTGAGACAGTTGCTAGAACATATTCGTAACGTCATCAACAAAATTTGTATTAGATTTGTAGATTACGATACCGTCTCACGAATATTCGTGATAAGCCCTCTGATATCTAAATTATAAATTAGACAAATTCTTATCAAAACTTTAATCTATATTGCACCATTGTTTATTATGTAAACATCACTTTACACTCTATCACAATAAAATCGTACGTCGTTCGTCAAATGGCACTCACATTGTCGTAATATACAAAAATAAAAATCACTTCTTGCAAATACATAGTGAAAACTTATTTCTATAACTAATATTACACTTATTATACACTAAATAAATTTACTAGCGAAAAAACTAGCGATATTAATGCTACACGACACCAAACTCAAATAAACAACTTTTCAGTACTAAAATAAGTAAATGAAAATATTTATATGATGACCGCAACAGCAGCAAAGATTTGCTTTAAACTTTGACTGAAATTAATTAATTGAAGTAATTTTAAGCGAACAAAACCGTATAAACAGCTTGTAAATATGTGGCAATCGCATGCAGTTTTCTGCGAGCTGTCAAACGCAAGCAATGCGGTCGCAAACCACAAATACAAACTTGTACGAAAACAGTTAAAAACCGGATTGTAAGTGCTTAAAACATGCGTTCATCATACAAAAACTGTAAACATAAAAATTAATAGCTAGTTTTTAAACAATTTACATAACAGTGACGCAAATTATCGGATTGTTCCCAACCGTCACCCCTCTCTGTCCCGACATGGGGACAGATGAGAATAAAAAAAATTCTTTCGTCACACCTTTTGCAACGAGGGAACGGTTAAGACTTATTTTCATTCTTAGCGGTTCCATCTGTCACCTTATTGGTGATATTAAATTGATTGGTGGGACTAAAAGTTAAGACGAATGAAACTATTATTTCTCATCTGTCCCCACGTGGGGATAGAGGGAGGCGACGGTTGGGAATAATCCAAATTATCATAATAAAATAGTTTCCACAAAGCTACAAGATAATAAATCGAAATAAATCTTAAGTACGTATGTATTTTGAGGGCAGTTAGTTGGAAGAAGAAATACAATTACAAAAGATTAAAAAAATGCTACCCGCAAACAATAACATGGGTGGCCGATGACGCCACAGAAGCATACAACATACAACAAGAGTAGAAAATTTAAATTCGACACCTGCAAAAAATATGCTAAAAACAAGAACTAAATGCGTCATTCGACGAGACCCTCATGTTATTGCTCACGCGTTGCAATAAATTAAAACATAACATAACAGAAAAAATGATTAAATAAAGAATGGTAATGTAGCGTCAGCAACTTACTAAGGCCACACTCGGTATTTCCTTGGAAAAAATTACGGAGATCTATGTATTGTAGCTAATAATTATACAATAATAATTTGCCTTATTAAATAGTCAACAATTTGACGATTGTATATTTGTAAATGAGTATATAACTGTTTCACTGATAATTATTGTTTTGTACTTTAAAGCATGAACCAGAATTAAATATACCGATATAAAAGATATTGTTATAGCTGACATTCTTATAATCAGGTTAAAATAGTTTTTACAGCGTCCAAGAGTTAAAAAAGTATAATTTTTTTTAACTTTTCATTTAAAAACATTTTTAAATCAACTTTTAATGTTTATTATTAATTTCCTATTATTTAGATGGAATAATAAAATTATCCAGAAGATATCAAACAGATTTTTGAATATAGAAAAAAGTTTAGAGATTTGTCTATAGCCGGCAAAATATGTAACATCTGCCTACATTGTAATGGCTGTTACATTAAGATTGCGTACAATTTAGTCTTTTTTTTTTTGTTTAATAACTAGTATACGCACAATCAAGCGATATTTTTTTATCTATCAAATCGTTTTCAATGTCAAGGCAAATCAGATAATTTCTAATATTTAAAAAAATGTCTAAAATTGATATGTAGATAACACGAATGGATTTATAAGCGTTGCAACTTTAATGTATTTTTTTTTTATTTTTTGCATCTGTGTAAATGTTGGCGAAACCGGCTTATCAAGGTTATGTTCTAACCTTGTTCGTGTGAACTTTGAATTAAATGTTGTACTGTTAAAAATTACAATTTGAAAACTTTGGATGATTCCAAACTTGATTGAATTAAAGATTACCGTTTATCGTGATTTTGAAGGCTGAATTAATTAAATAAATAAGATTTTTTCTTCCGGAAACTTGTTTAGTCAGAAAAAATACGATTAATGTTTTAAGTTAGTAATATTTGATAAAATATACCTCAAATTCCGTTATTTTTAATAGACCAGTCGAGTCATATTAAAAAAGGTATTAAAAAAGTCATTACGTTTATATTAGAGTAAGTCCGTTATCCTTTACTCGTAATTAAAAACAAAGTCATGTGTACAGTTTTAGTATACAATAGCCATTTGACATTCAACAGGAACAATGTGTATTGTTTTTGAATTTACATGTCATCTATTGGCAAGATTTACACAAAACCTGATCAATATATTAAGACGATACGATTAACTAAACCCACAGTCGTTTAATAGTCATTAAGCGCCCTTAAGCGTAGATTTTTCATAAAAAACCCTATTAAACGATTTTAGTAGTAAATCTGACTAATTTTATCACTGTTTTTTTATCAAATAAAATCTACACACGAATATTTTTTTTTATAAAGGCATCGTATTATTATCAGGAAAATTGCGTTGCATATCACAATGTACCGAGCGGTATGTTTAGCATGAATATTTTTGCAATTGACGTGTCTTACTCTGTTTTCATTATCTTCTGTTGCTGTTCCCTGTGCATGTTCAGTTCTTTGAGACGCTGTCGCAATTGTGCCTTCTTTAAATTTGTCATTATCTGCGTTGATTGATATAACCATGAACCCTGAAATGCAAGAAATATAAATTTAGACTATTTACTTAGATGAACCCTTTAGGGCAAGTCCTACCACTGGCTGATAAAGGCTCAGATAGCTTAAAACTGACGTCACTGTCATAACGTAACAAAATCCGATATTTCCATCACATATTTTACACGTTAGATTGTTATTGGACAATTTACAATATGGTGGGACAGGCCCTAAGCCTTGTAACATATAAACACAATTTTAAACCCCGGCATTACAGTAAATCGATGAGATCAAAGCAGCAGCGGGCAGCGCCTGGTCCAGAACGGCGAAAAATAGAAAACTGTGGTCCAACATGGAGGAGGCCTTTGTCAAAATGGCACACAGACAATAATTGTTTATAATTAATAATACATTATATTAGAACTGTTATTTATTGTCTGAATAAAGGCTTATATTATTATTATATTATTATTACAGTAAAACATACCGTAAAAAATAAAAATAAAATCTTAAGCATTTTAAAGCAGTTTCTGTTTTAAAAATGTAAACGTCATGAAAGTTTTTTTTTTAATATCAGTAAAATATCGGAAATGATAAATAAAATGGTAACATATCAGTTATCGGATACAAAAACCCTAAAACGCAATTAAGGCATATTGTGATTAGATTGATACGATAGCAGTGTTTTATACATCGTGCTGTTTCTCTTTCACATATAGCTTTAGAAGGAGACGGCAAAAATGCATTTTTCACCTTGAGCGTGACCAACCTCAATATTCTCATTTAAATTCAAACCAAGATTACGCATTATTTATAATTTGCAGACAGGCGGAGCATAAAAATGTAAGAATTCAAGAATAATTATTTCATATTAACCTTCGCCCGTGACTCCGTCCGGGTTGCATTAAAAAAACACATGTTAGTAGTATATGTGTTCTTCCAGACTATCATTTACGTCTACGGCAGATTATATCGAGATCCGTTTAGGCTATAAACTCAAATAAACATCCATGCATCTAAACTTTCGCATTTATAATATTAGTAAGATAGTAAGATTGCTATTCTAATAAAACAACTGATGACCAGTTTTTCCTTCGTTTCGATTGAAAGCGTAAACAGAAGCACGTCAAAATCCATACATGGCGGCCATATTGATATCTGACTTTTTACTTGCACAGAATATGAGATAAAGCACTTTGGTATTATTTTGAAATCAACTATATTTTTTTAAATTAGATTTGTATAATAGTTACATTTAAAAATTTGCGATAAATAATTGTCAAATCATACCAATCATACTAATACTAATATAAATGCGAAAGTTTAGATGAATGGATGGATGGATAGATGTTTGTTAGAGTTTGTAGCCTAAACGGCTGAACGGATCTCGCTGGAATTTGGTATAGATGTAGAGGATAGTCAGAAAGAACACATAGGCTACTCATTTTTGTTTATTTTTAATTCCATGCGGACGGAGTCGCGGGCGAAAGCTAATTATTAATAATTATAAGCATAGGCATGATTGAGTAATTTCTACCTTTTATCTTTAATTGTTAACGCTTCAGACAAAACACGATTACTGGTGAACTACATTCTCATTTATATTTAGATCAACAATCGAGCTGATAAGACATTATCACGTGCGGCGTCTGCAACGCCCGCTGCAGACTGCAGACTGCTCAATTCATTACGTAATACGACTATTTCCGCAATTTTCTAAAGAAAAAAATCCAATGTATTCCTTTCTTAGAACAAGTTGAACGCAGTTTTTCTTGTGATCAAGAATATTAACAAAAAAATAAGAAAAAGTGATATTTAATATAGAGTTTGTAGCCTAAACTGCTGAATGGATCTCAATGAAATTTTGGCATAAATGTAGAGGATAGTCTGGAAGAACTCATAGGCTCCTTAGTTTTGTTTCTTTTAATACCACGCGGACGGAGTCGCGGGCGAAAGTTAGTTATAATTAGTGCAAGTACATTAGTACTCTAGATTTATTTAATAACGTTTCCTTTACTTCATATAGTCTAATCCAAGATGGATTAAAATGATAACGTAAATAAACTGGTCAACAATCGATATTAAACAATATAATTTAAAAAGTTTCACCAACAATTCAAAATCACGTGATTTTGTGAATACTCGTGCTCACACCTGCTTCATTTAGCAGCCAAGTAAATGTATTCTGCATAGATTGGCCAGTTGTGCCAATACGGTCTTGTTATAAACATTTGGCAAACGGTTTATTTGAATTTAGATATTTAGCTAGCATATCTAACTACCCTATTTAATCTAACTAATATTATAAATGCGAAAGTTTAGATGGATGGATGGATGTTTGTTAGAGTTTGTAGCCTAAACGGCTGAACGGATCTGGATGAAATTTGGCATAGATGTAGAGCAGAGTATGGAGGAACACATAGGCTATTTACTTTTGTTTTGTTTAAATACCACGCGGACGGAGTAGCGGGCAACAGCTCGTTTAATATAAAGGTAACTTTTCGGTGTGATAGCTTCAAGCTACTAACGAATTTCGATTTGAATACTACTGGGAACTTTGAATTTAACCTTTCTCGGGGTGACGACCGCAAGCGCAATGATGCCCACGCATATCGTCTGTATTTTAAATTGATAATTTTTTTAATAGAATTTACACGTTTCCTAACAAAAGCAGAGAAACTTATTGCTAGACAGACAAAATTCAATATTTTTTTGATCACTAAAACCGTCAGCTATTGATAAACTATTTTAGAACTTTTTAGTAAACAAGCCAGATAGTAAAGAAAAGTAAAATGAAATCTGTTGTAAAAATCTGCAATTACATAGCATAAAAGAATGCCAAGGTAATTAAAGTACATTAGCGTTAATGACTAATTACTTACCACCATTATCATACAGTTGAGCAATATTGGGATTGAAAACACGACTGAAATGAAGAGACCCTTGCTGTCAAAGTACTGCTGTCTAGAGAATAATGTCCAGTTCCTCGCCGCTACTTCGTTTATGTTCTCCGAGAAATACACCAATAGTACTGCAAACAAACGTATTTAATATTAAACCATGTGTTTACGAGTGCCCATAGACTTTGATATAAAGCATTGTACATGATTTGCCCACTTTTGGACAAAGAGCAATAGACAATGGACAGATGAGGAGACCACGGTAATGATATTTGCCATTACTTTTATCCACTTTTCCTTCCTAATAAGAAAACTATGAGAAGGGGAGTAAGAACAGAATTCGTCCAAAGCCATAAAATGCAAGCATTTCCGCGGTTGTTCTGAAAACTGTATGCAATGCATTTCACGCCTCTCTTCTATTATTGTTTTATAGAGAATTCAATTACTTTAGTCTATCGTACTCGTGTGGCGTTAAAGTGACCTTTGACACCGCGGTTGTATAAGGTGTTTTTAAAATTCCGGCACAGCAACGTATTAGTCGAATATTGTTTGCCGTTTTAACATAATTTGAATGTCGTATTGGGTATAATTTCAATAAAGTGGCTAACGGCAAACAAACATACGACCATGAATTGGCCAAAAATAGTATTAAATATACTATTATTATTAACTTGCATTAGAAATTATTCTACTAGGGTTACAGTTAGTATGAATTTTAAACTTGCAAGGTCAAACTAAATTCGTATTCAGTTTATCAATACAAACTATACGTTTGAATACAAGCGGATGTTTACTTAAACTCAAATACTCAATATTAAATTATTATAACTGTTATTTCAAATCTAAAACTTATAACTATCCAGATCTTAACAATAGAAAACAGGTTGTGAGAATTAACATATCCATATCTTTAATAGACAACACATGCTAAGTACACACATGACACATATATTTAAAATAAATAATTGTAAAGTGTGTAGTAGCGCCTACAAATTTCATCTTCTCTTGATATAATATCGTATTACATATAGACTAGTTTTCGCCCGCAACTCCGTCCGCGTGGAATTAAAAAAAAAAGTGAGTAGCCTACGTGTTCTTCCAGACTATCCTCCACATCTATACCAAATTTCATTGAAATCCGTTCAGCCGTTTAGGCTACAAACTCTAACAAACATCCATCCATCTATTCAAACCTTTATAGTTATAATACTAATGACTTAACGATATCACTTCGATTTTTTTTTAATCAGTCATGTTAGCATTTACGCAGATATTTTTAGTCATTACGTTTTTTATAAAGGCAGCTATTAAAAGAATTCACTTTAATGTAAGCGTATTCGTGATCAAAAATAAATATTTACATACGTCATAGAAAAAAATCTAGTGACAGTATTAAATTATTTTAACAACTTCCTTCATGAATGTGCATTGCTTTAAGATTACGATACATCACAAAAATTGTTTTTACATTAATATGACCAAATAAAAACATACTAAAACTTCATAACGTAACCTTCAGAAATAAAAGAGATAAGCTGCATATAAATATAATTAAGACCTCATATCCACTAGCACAATTAACGGCGCGAAATTTGTCATGTGAGATTGCACAATAATAGTTTTCATATATTTTGGCGACTTTTGATTTCTACCGAGTCGCTGCGCAGATTAGGGCGAAGGAGACTACGCAACGCGCTACTGACCTTGAGTCGCCACGATATTTAAAAAGAACTATTTTTTTATAAGCACGCCATTTCCAGTGCGTTAGCGAAAAAGGGGCTTAGTGAAAAAGGGGCTTAAATGTAAACAAAAATTATCTCATTTATTTAATTTCAAATAGTTGATAGGCTGCTAGGTTATTAAGTTACATTTGTCAGGTGTAATAAACTAACGGCTACATATTTTGACTTGAAATTTTTAATATCTTATTTTATGTAACAGTTGCCAGCAACCTCGTCCGCATGTAATTGTGAAAATTTTATTTTATTGTTTACATTTGTCAAATTATCCAAAGCAAATGTCAAAATGACATTACATGACAAACCTTGACAGTCTTGCTTCCTTGATGTTGGCAGCAACTTATGGTCTCTTTCGCAAATTAGGGTTTTTATCCAAAACAGTTACCCCCTAAGTTTAATGGCATTAAAATATATAGCCTAAAGTGTGACGTAAGTGTAGGGCTTTTTATTAAAAAGAGAATTTAAAAAAATATGCTGTAATTGCCGACGTCTTAGGCAACAAAGAAGTGTGTGTTTACGCTTTATTATAATAATATAGATATGGATAACAATTTAAGGAACATAAAAGACTCTTATTGTCTATGCAAAGAACTACAGATACTATTTCTTCTATATTACATTTCTATTAAATCTATTTTGTATAAATAAGAAAAATACTTACATAGTGTTATAAAAAGAATAACTTGAAAGTTTCCATAATTCCGTGTTGAGAAGCAAGTAAATGTAACAAGAATGTGGAAAGACAGCAGCGCTATGAGCCATGGATCACGCCATTCAATCTGCAAAACAATTTGATTTGCAGAGCTATCTTTTTAAAGTACACATACTATAAAGAAGAACAATATGTTTGTCTAAAAAATTACTTCACAGATTACAAAAATTCTTTTGCCATCAGTAAGCTAATAACTAATAATAGCTGAGTAATATAGACTTTATTACTAGTTTTTTAATTCTGCGCAGACAAAGCCGCATTCAAAAGCTTATTGTTAATTTATCTTGTACTATAGCACCTACTTAATGTGTAATTAAAAAAAAAAAGGCTTTATACGAATTTTATTAAACAATATGTAAACTAACAAAAATTAAATTGTTTACATTTGAATGATTATTCCTTCAGCAAATATTTCATTCCCTTCTGTATATGTAACATTTCGAGAGTATAATTAAAATAAGAAAATGATTGCAACTGTCGCATTTATGTTAAAACTAAAAAACATGTTAGGCAATACGTACAAACATTAGTGCGATAAAATATAAGGGAATTAAAAATAGTATATGAAAGTGAAAAAATATGAATATCATGTATACTTACACTGCGTATGTATGATACAAAATCGGATATTTCATTAACTTCAATAAAACCTTCCATTGTTTATTTCTAACCGGCACTTGAAACTGAATTGTTAAATGGTGATTGATGAAATTCGCTTTATCGCTTTGGCAAAATTGACAAAACTTTACTTCACTTCGATAATTTTTTTTCCACTGTCATTAAATAGGCAAAGGTTTTGATGTTTCAGCAACAACCGTCGAACACTTTTTTGAATGTCAAACGAAACATTAATTCGTTTTTTTACATTAATTATTTAATTTCCAAAACAATTTTATTACAACGCTATATGTTTTCCATAATAAAAAAAATAAAAAAACTTAACAATTTTAATTTATAGTTTGTTTTCATAGTTTATTATTGTTATTTTATCTGAAAATAATCGATTAATTTTCAAATAAATAATTTAAAGCTGTATATTTCACAGATCTTTGTCAAAAAAAAGGTCGAAAAAGTATAAACGTCAATTGTGTTTTCTTTGTCAAACAGCAATCGTTGCGTATTTTTTGCGGATAGAAAATAGAAATCGTTTATTGTGAAAGATCTACGATGTACATAAAAACGTTATTGATCTGATATACCAAATATTTTAAGAAATGACAAGTTAAAAATAAGAACTATTTAAGGAAAAGTGAATCTACCAGTATGTTTTAGTATTATAAGTATTAATTAAGCCGGTATATCAAAATGTTTCATTTAGTGTTAATACAAGCTATATGTCTTTTATCATTATCAATAAACAATGTGTCAGGAGTACAAGCAATCGGTGGTTTAATTCGATCACAGAAAGGAGTATATTCTGTAGATTTGGGTGGGTGTGGTAATATCCAAAAAGAATGTTCAGGTTTACGTGACGATCTTAATATTTTGTCTTGTGCTTTGAACGCGACACGTAATAATAAAACGCAGGCTAGTATACTTTGTCAACACAAAGTATGGATGCACCAGGCAGAATTACTAGATAATGCCTACATGGATTACAAAATCAAAGAGCCATGCCAAGATGAAGCTGATATAATAGCTTGTTTGAATCCATCCGAGTTAAGTGTAGATTGCATTTTAAAAAAGAAGCCCAGTGTGAAAGATAAAACATGTTTGAATCTCATTGACAAAATTGAACTTTTACTTTTTAATGACTGGATAATAACAGACAATTTTTTGCAACACTGCTTTGATGATATTAACACATACAGATGTGGCAGAATTACTTCAGATTTAAAGAGTATGTCACAATCTCAGACGCTAATTTGCCTACAGCCATTTGTTGAAAACCTCCGTCCTGAGTGCCAATCGGAGATGATAGTATTGAATGAAATGAAATATAGCACAATACAGTTAGACAAAATTGTTTTTGCTGCTTGTAATGTAGATGGCCAACACTTTTGTGCTGATGAAGTTCCCGGTTCCCGATTAATGTATAAATGTCTTGTACGGCATAAATATGAAAAAGGTTATTTCTACATTAATTTAATTCACTCCATAATTTTTAATTAAAATTACTTTTGTACAATCTACAAGTATTGGTTTCAGGTATGACAAAAACATGTCAAGATCAACTATTTTACGTTCAACGAAATGTGGTAAACAATTACAAAAATAGTAAAGGCTTAGTCAAGTCTTGTAAGGATGACATCAGAAAATACCACTGTAGGAAAGGTGTGGTGGAAGACAAAGAAGTGAGACTGGCACAAATATTATTATGTTTGGAAAATATATCGAGAAATGATAGCACAAAATTGACACCTGAGTGCATTGCAGAAATGACTGATCATAGAAAGATGCTAATGGAAGATTATAGACTGTCTACTGAATTGATGCAAAACTGTGCAAATGATATAAATAATTTGTGCAGAGGAATTGCAGCACAGGGCAAAATTATACACTGTTTAATGGAACATGCTAGACCTAAGAAGAAAAAGGAAAAGAGAATAAGCATGAATTGTCAAAGGTCATTAGAAGTTTTGGTTCAAGAAGCAGATCCTGGAGAAGATTGGAGAGTAGATCCTATTTTACGTAAAGCTTGTAAACCTGTAGTTGATAAAGCTTGCAGGGAAATTAATGGTGGCAATGGAAGAGTTATGTCATGTTTGATGGAAAAGCTTGGAACTGAATCAATGACAGCTGACTGTGAAGCTGCGGTTCTGCAAATTCAATATTTTATATCCAGAGATTTTAAACTTGATCCCCAATTATATAAAGCTTGCATATATGATGCTGTCACTCAGTGCAAAGCTAAATTGCAATGGGCTGATGCTAGTGAACATCAATCAGCAAAAGACCCTTTAATTCTCCCATGTTTATATAACTATGCATATAATTCTGCACTAAGAGGTATATTGAAACCTGCATGTGAACAACAAGTCCGTAGAGTGATGAGGCAAAGGGCAGTAAGTGTAGATTTGTTACCAGAAATTGAAGACTTCTGCATTGATGATTTGACAAATTACTGTTTTGATAATACAGGTAAAGGAGAAGAAATACTTTGTTTGCAAAATAAAATTAAAGATTTGTCTCCTAAGTGCAGGGAGGTTGTGACAAACTTTACTGAAACACAAAGTGGTCACATTGAACTGAATGCTATGATTAGCACTAACTGTCGAATACCTATAGAGAAGCTTTGTTTGTCAGAACTAAATAGTAAAAGAGATTATGATGACGTACTTGATTGTTTGATTACGCACAAGAATGATGCACAAGTAAAGGCGAATGTGAAATGTCGAGCTGCAATAGAACATGAACAATTAATTGCATTAAAAAATTATAGATTTACAAGGAAATTTAAAAATGCTTGCAAATCTTATGTTGTAAGATTTTGTCCAAAAGCACAAACGAAAAGCCAGGTTGTTACATGTTTAAGTGAAATTGTAAGAAACGATACAATCAGTAGAAGAAAACATACGATATTTAAAGACTGTCGCCAACAGTTAAGAAGCCAACTATTTCAACAAAAGGAGAATATAGATTTAGATCCAGATCTCAAAGAGGCTTGCACCAAAGATTTACAAATGTATTGTCCTACAGTACCTCATGGGGAGGCAGCAGCTTTAGAGTGTCTTCAAACTGCTAAAGGAAAATTAAGTGAAGGATGCAGAAAAGCTATTTTTGTTGTTCGAAAACAAGAATTTGCAGACAATGCTATAGATTATCACTTGATAACTAGTTGTAATGATATGATAGATCTGTACTGCCACAATACTGAACCCTCTAATATTTTAGATTGCTTAAAAGTGAGCTTCTCATATTTTTTTTATTTAAAGTTAATTATAATCGATTTTTATAATTGTATTTTATTTATTATTTTAGGATCACCGTCAAAAACCTGATTTTGAGGAAAATTGTAAAATTGTTATTGTTAATAGAATGATTGAGCAGAACATGGATTACCGTTTTAATAATAATTTGCAAAATGCATGTAAACTTGACATTAAAAAATATTGTTTCAGGATTATAGGTAAGTCTGAACAATATGCGGGTAATATTAAAGTTTAAATTTATTTATAATTAAACTATATTTACAGCAACAGAACCACAAGATATGGAATTGCAAGGCAAAGTGATGTACTGTCTTAAAGAGAAGTTTAGAGAATCTAAGTTATCATATACATGTGAAAACAAACTTGCAAGTATACTTAAAGAGCAGGCTTTAAATTACCGTCTGGATCCCTTACTTGGGAAATTGTGTAAAGCAGAAATACAAACCATTTGTTCAAGGCCGAAAGATTCTGATACAAATGCTGATGGCCAGGTAGGATGTACCCATTAAGTAATAGAATGTAAATTCCATTGAGCCATTCTGGAGATAACTTTTAACAAATATCATTCCATCCATCCATCTAACACTCACATTTATGTTATTAACAAGATATGAAAGGATGGATGGATGTTTGTTACTACATATCTATTAAACAGCTTAGCGGATTCTGGCAAAAATTTTTGTAAGAACACATACATTACTAACTCTTTTTATTTGGCGCGAGCGAAGTCGCGGGCAAAAGCTAGCGATATCATAAATTTATGTCATGTACTTAATCCAAAGTTATTTGTTACTTTAGGTAGAGGAATGTTTAAAGAAGGCCTTGTTAAATCATAAAATAGTATCAGCTGAATGTGCTCAAGAAGTTGCACAAATAATAGAGGAAACCGAAGTAGACATTGACGCTGATCCATTACTGGAAAGAGCATGTGCATTTGATTTACTTAAATATTGCAAAGATTTAGAACATGGTGCTGGGCGACGTAAGTTTATTATTTTTGCTTTTTCTTCAAAGACATGTATTCGTAAACATTTTTATTTTGCCTATTTTATTCATATTTTGTTATTAATTTAATAAATAAGACAGTAATGTTTAATTTAATTATTGGTTTTAGGTCTCAAATGTCTAAAAATAATATTGAATGACAGTAACAGAAAATTAGAGCCTGAATGTGAAAAACAATTATCAAGCCGTTTGGAAATGTACAGATATGTTGCTGTAAGTTTTTTCTTTTCAGCTATAATTGGTTTTCAAATTCTATAATACGTAAATCAATATTTAAATGGTATTTTTCAGGCATATCATGCTGAAAATTTAGGGGACATCTACAATGAACTCTCATCTTCACCATCAAAGAAATACTTTCTAGTTGTGGGCATATCGGTTGTTGGACTCATTTTCATATTTGGTTTATACTGTGGTCGCATGACAAAGCATGCAATGTATGTTAAGAGAAAATAGTTGATGTATAAATCATGTATTATTAATAATAAACAAATATTTTTACTTTTGATTGAATTATTTTACTCATTCCATTCAGATATTTCATCAAAATCCATTTCTTCAATACTATTAGGTTCTTCCTTTTTAGCTACCTTAGTTTCTTTCTTAATTTCCACCTTGTTGCCGGCCAGAAGTTTCTGACTTTCCTCAAAATATTGATTAGGATGATTTATTCCCAGTCCAATGTCAGTGTTATGTGCGGAATCAAAATATTTACTACAAGCTATTTGAAAATGTCCCTTCTTTGCCATCTCTACTATATCATTTAGAGCTGAAAACAAAAACATGGTAATAATTTCATAATTTAATATTTTAAAACACTAACCTGTTGTGTATTAACACTAAAAATAGTGGTAATTGATAATTACCTTGATTTTCTATTCCATATCCCTTGAGCCTATTTTTTAAGTTGCTTGGATCACAATGTCTATATGGACATCCATGACAATCACCTGGACCCACATTATTATTAATAATTTTTAAGCAATTGAAAGCTGAGTAGTTCCTCTTGCTTCCTTCTTTACCATAGTTATATCTAACATTATATGCATACTGTTTTTCAAACTTGTCTGATTCCATTATTTTAGTGAATTCATCTCTCCAGAATCTTAATGAGTCTTCAAGAGTTACTCCAATTCCTTTTAAAAACAGTCCATACTGCAATCTGCCACCATGTTTTAAGTGATGGCTTAGTCTCAATTGTTCATGAAGTTGTCTCATACATAAAGGAAATGATTTAACAGAAAGAGAATCTAAAGACTCTATTGGTATTGTTACTTTTGTTTCACTGTAATCGCTTCCAGCATAAGATTGATGAAGTCCTTTAAGCAGGCCAACAAGCCTCTCATCCTGTTCAATTTCTCCCAGATGGTGACAAGCGATTGCTAAACTTTGCTTCAAGTGTATCCTGTACTGTGCAGATAAAACAGATATAAAATCCCGGTCAGGTATGTATGCATATCCGCCTTGTATATAAACTTTTCTTGCTTTCACCAGATCAAGAACTTCATAAAACTTTACTTTATAAATTTTCGAGGTATCTATCTTATGGTGCATTGTGGATTCTCTTAAATAAGGCATTAAATCGTTTTTTTCTTCATCTGATATACTTGTGTAGCATAATTGGTTTATCTTAAAAAATTCTTCAACAGCTTTAGGGGACATTGTCATAAATCGCATCTTGAATAATTCTAACTCCCTTGCAATAAACCATCTGCGTAATTCTTCTGTTCTGCAATAAGCCAATCTAAGAATAAAATGGCCAATATGATCTTTACGCCTTGCGAGTAAATCGCTTTCATTGGTTCCACATCCTGACATGTCACATAAATTAGCGTAATATTTTAGCCCTTGGCTCCTTAGTTCATTAATGATGTAATCTTTCCATTCATCTGAGTATATTCGTAATCCTTTAAGAGTTGTAGCAGTCGTCAAACATCTTAACAAAGTTAGCCTTTCTAAAGCCAAAGATTCAAATTCTTGCAGTCTTATGTCTTCTATGGGTGGTATTTTATACATTTGTAGATCATGTGGGTAGCTTTCCAAAAGATTACTTGTGTATGCGGTTCGTGTCGATTTCCTTTTAATTTTTAAATCCATGTTTATTTAATTTAAAACTTAGAAACAATGTGAACTTTATTGCAAATGCCAGATAAATTTTGGCGCGAATTTTGACAGATAAATCTCGTTTCACGTTTCGTTTGGCGTTTGGCGAAAAATATTAAATAAAAGTTGTAGTTGTGTTGTTATTTATTTTTATTATTTAAACGATGAAAAAAAAAGAACGTTTACTCAACAATTATAAAATGCATTGTAATTTTTAAACATATGACAGAACAGAACATAAATGAGCATCGGTCTTGAAAAATTGAGTTTATATTATTTCTTCTATTCTATATTCTACATCCTCATATTCTTACCCAATCTGGGGTTTCTTTTATACTGATGTTTAGTAGAATTTATCTGGGATAAATCATATTTTTGGAATTTTTATACCAACATAGATACCAAAAAATGTGACAATGTGACGTGTCCTGCACGCGCTAATTTACAAATTCTTTGAACGGTGTCATTTGACAATGTAAAATGTAATACATCTGTCATTTTATCTGACAGGAAGAAGTGTCGTGTTGTGGGCTTATAAATAATTAAGTAAAATCAAATTTTACATAAATTAATGAATTGATTTGTATAGTCGATTTATAAAAAAATGCGCGCCCTATTTATTAATATTTGAAAACAAATTTTTGTACGTTGCGACAATTTCTGAAATAATTTTCAGAAACATGGTTTCAACTAAGATGCAGTCGTCATTAGACGATTTAGTACAATATACTCAACTATTTAAGCCAATGGCAACGGTTCTGCAAGGAACTATATTGCCTTTCTTAGTAATATATCCAGTGGTATTTTATTTTTGGATTGTTGTATATGGTTTTGAAGAAAACTTTGAGGCTGGTTTCGTGAGTGTCGCCGTAGTAGCAATTACACAAATTCTTATTTGCCTCTGCTGCTACTGGAGTGTTCACATACAATGCTTCTTATCTTGTACAGCTGTAAGTAATTTATAAATTTATTTAATATTGCTTTAACATAAAAAATAGACAATATTAATTATTATCTTCTATTTCAAGGTAAAAGATCCCATACAAGCTGAAATTGTAAAAGTTGTTCCAACATCTAATAATGGGTTCTCAGAAATTGTAAAACTTCATCATACAAAGGTAAGTTGATCGTAGCCAAGGCATCCATTTTTAGAACATTCATTAATATTTTTAATACTCGAATATTTTGATTCTAGTCAACTACAAAAGGAAATCTTAATCCTGATGTCTGGTTTGTATTTCAAAAAAGTAAATATGTTTATGACTGGGATAAGAAAGTGTTCCACACAATTGTATTTCCTGTTAATAAAACATATGAAGAGTATATGGAATCTAAAGGTTATCTGGATGATGAGTCTATTGATGTTGCAGAAAAAACTTATGGCAAAAATGAAATGATAATGGTAAGTTGTAAAGTAATACAGTAGAACCACAATAACTCAAACCTCGGTAACATAAAAACCTCTATAACTTCAAAAATTAATATTTTCCTTTCCCATCAGAGCCCAAAACATAGACCCTTGATAACATAAACCATATAACTTAAATTTTGTGTTTCCCTTGGACTTCAACTTATTGGGGTTTTACTTTATTATAATTAGGGGGTAATATGTTACCGTCCAAATTAGACACATAAATATTGATTATATAGTTTGCCTCAACTCTCACAATTTTAACTGCAACATTTCACTGTTCAGTTAACTGTGCAGCTATTGCTTAATCCTACTACAAAAATTCAGTTTCAATTGATAACTTTAACTGAACAGTCAAACTTGTCAGTTGGAAGAGTTTGTAATGGCTTAAAAAAAAATACATAGTATATCCTTAACATGATATAAAAGTCTCTGTTTGAGAGTGCTGTTTTGGGCTTTGTTTAATCTGATTTTAATGAACACAAAGATATTAGTTACATAATTAAGTAACATTATATTTTTTTATATTCCTGGCCGGACATATCACCATTAACTAATATATTGTTTCAGGTTGTACCAGAATTTATGGAACTATTCAAAGAAAGAGCAACAGCACCATTCTTTGTCTTTCAAGTATTTTGTGTAGCTCTTTGGTGTTTGGACAAATATTGGTATTATTCTATATTTACACTTGTGATGCTTGTAATGTTTGAATGTACTTTGGTTCAGCAACAATTGAGAAATATGGCTGAAATACGAAAGATGGGCAACAAGCCATATAACATTAATGTGTATAGAAATCGAAGATGGCGACAAATTATGAGTGATCAATTGTTACCTGGTGATATAGTTTCTCTTACTAGATCTCATAGTGACAATTTAGTTCCTTGTGATATACTACTTTTAAGAGGATCTTGCATAGTTGATGAATCTATGCTAACTGGAGAGAGTGTACCACAAATGAAGGAAGCTCTTGATAATGAAAAGAACCTTAAAGTTAATTTGGATCCCGAAGGAGAGGGAAAATTGCATATGTTGTTTGGAGGCACAAAGATTGTACAACACTCATCACCAAATAAAAATATCACATCAGGGTTAAAGGCTCCGGATAATGGTTGCATTGGCTACGTTATACGTAACGGATTCAATACATCACAGGGTAAACTTCTAAGAACAATATTATTTGGAGTCAAGCGGGTAACGGCAAATAATCTGGAGACATTCGGTTTTATTTTATTCTTGCTGATTTTCGCAATCGCAGCTGCTGTTTACGTTTGGATAAAGGGCTGTGAAGATCCAGAAAGGAATAGATACAAATTGTTTTTAGAATGCACTCTGATATTAACCTCGGTAGTGCCACCTGAACTTCCTATTGAATTATCTCTCGCTGTGAACACCTCGTTACTATCACTGTCAAAGTTAGCAGTTTTCTGTACGGAACCTTTTAGGATACCTTTTGCCGGCAAAGTGGAAATTTGTTGTTTTGATAAAACTGGCACATTAACAAGTGACAATTTAGTAGTAGAAGGTGTTGCTGGTATTGCAGGTCACACAGATGCTACTGTTATACCTTTAACAGAAGCACCAATAGAAACTATACAAGTTTTAGCATCTTGTCACTCTCTAGTACAACTCGATGATGGTGTGGTCGGTGATCCATTAGAAAAAGCAACATTAAAAGCTGCAGAATGGAATCTAACAAAAGGCGATGCTGTAGTACCTAAGAAAGGTAAATCGCCTGGTTTCAAAATAGTACATAGAAATCATTTCTCGAGTGCTTTGAAAAGAATGTCTGTAATTGCTGGATACCAAATAAATGAGCGAGGATTCATTGATACACATTATATTAGTAGCGTCAAAGGTGCGCCTGAGACAATAAAAACTATGCTAAAAGAGGTTCCTAGTCACTATGACAATGTTTATTTGACCTTATCTCGAAGAGGAGCGCGTGTTCTTGCGTTAGGTTACAGAAGTTTAGGAAAATTGACTTCTCAAGAAATTAGAGACTTATCCAGAGAAGATGTAGAGAGTGATTTGACCTTTGTTGGGTTTGTTATCATTTCATGTCCGTTAAAAAGTGACTCAAAGAAAGCTATCGCTGAAATTGTTAATGCATCTCATTCAGTCGTTATGATCACCGGTGATAATCCATTGACAGCCTGTCATGTTGCCAAAGAATTGAAATTTACACAAAAAGATGAAGTTCTTATTTTGACCGAAAAGAATGACGACTGGACTTGGAAATCTATTGATGATAATATTGTTTTACCCGTAAGCAATCAATCAGAGAAGGAATTGATTAAAAAATATGATCTGTGCATTACTGGAGAAGGTCTTACATTCCTTAATGAACATTACCACGACCTTATGATTAAATTAATGCCGCATATAAAAGTGTTTGCGAGGTTTGCACCTAAACAGAAAGAATTTGCAATCATTACTCTAAAATCCTTAGGTTACGTGACTTTGATGTGTGGAGATGGTACAAATGATGTCGGTGCTTTGAAACATGCTGATGTAAGTTTAAATTTTTTTATTCTATGGATTATTCAATAGATAGCATAAAATATTTTCCAAGTAATTATATTAATCTATAAGTAATACTTTGCAGGTGGGTGTGGCAATTTTGGCAAACGCCCCGGAGCGTGCGCGGGAGAAGGCCCGTGAGAAGGTCCGCGAGGAGCGTACTCCGGAGCCGGAGCCCCCGCGGCGGGCGGGAGGTCCGCGCGCAGACCCGAGGGCGGAGGCGCGCGCCGAGGCCGCGGCCAGGCTGCGCAGAGCTATGAAGAAGTTGGAAGAAGAGGACCAACCTCAGCTGGTTAGGTTGGGCGACGCCAGTGTCGCGGCGCCCTTCACCAGCAGGCTATCCAGCATACTTTGCAGTGAGTATTTATTCATGCAGTAATTGATTAGCTATGTCATACTCTTAGAGTTTTGTGGTGATGCAGTTACTCTGAAATTGTTACCTGGCATTGATTCGATTCAATCTTGTTTGTATACGAGGACTATGTCCGTTTCGGTGGATCAACCTCCAGTCCTTCTTCTCTTGTGCCATCGTATCTTCTTAATACACGACGGTCACTTTCTAATTATTGTTGCATATATGTTTGTCTTAGTCTTCCCCTATTTCTGTTCTGTGTTCTGTTCAAAATGTGTTTTACAAACAATCGCATGTATGATATTGTGTTCCAGTATGCCACATAATAAAGCAGGGCCGGTGCACGCTGGTGACGACGCTGCAGATGTTCAAGATCCTGGCGCTAAACGCGCTGATCCTGGCGTACAGCCAGTCCGTGCTGTACCTGGACGGCATCAAGTTCAGCGACACGCAGGCCACGCTGCAGAGTTTACTGCTCGCCTCCTGCTTCCTCTTTATATCACGCTCCAAGGTAACTAAATAAAACTGCTTAACACATTCCACTGAGTGGGCTTTTATAAATTTAAACGCACTAAATATATGAAAAGTTTTTATCCAGTTATAATTTGACCGTTTTTTCTTTTGCTTGTTGCTTTTTTATATTCAATCTATACTAATTTTATAAACAGGAATGATTTGTTTTTTCGTATGTATTGAAATAACTCCAAAAAGATAGATATATGCTATCGCGGACTTTACTATAGAACTATTTGAGATCTACAATTCTGTCAAACATCATTTTTATAAACCTCTAACGGTTTAGGCAGCGTAAGCCGAGAAAAGTAAAAGTTTAGTGAATATTTAAAGCCAGCGTCCAGAAACACGCTGTTTATTAATAGTTCCCAAACATTAGTAATAATAAAATATAGCCTATGTTACTCACAGATAAATTACTTATCTGTTGATGAAGGAATTTTTAAAATCGGCCTTGTAGTTTTTGAGTTATTTCAATACATGCAAAGATACAAAGTTTTCCTTTTCATAATATTAGTATAGATTTATGTAAATATGTTCCACGTGGTATTTTCGCTATAAATAATGTTTGACTTTTGGTAATAGCCAGGCTATTGCTGGCTGTTTTGGTGAATCCGTTTGTAAGTATGACATTTTGAGGGTGAGTGTTTGTGTCAGCCGCTGAAGCAGCTGTCGCGGCGGCGGCCGCTGCCCAACATCTTCAACATGTACACGATAATGACGGTGCTGGCGCAGTTCGCGGTGCACTTCCTCTGCCTCGTGTACCTCGTGCGCGAGGCCGCGCTGCGCTCGCCCGACAGGTACACGCACCACATATGTGAACATCACTAAGTATTAACACAAATTTGATGTAAGAATTATGATAAAAAAAGTTGTCTTAACTTATCTAATAATAGACGTTTAAATTCCGAAAGGTCTTGAATTTATGAATACGCGTACTAGCTAAGTGATTACATAACTTTAGGGCCTGTCCCACCACTGGCTGATAGAGGCGCAGATAGCTTAAAAATGACGTCACTGTCAAATAAGGTAGCAAAATCCGATATTTTCATCGCATATTTTACATGTTGGATTGTTATCGGACAATTTGATGGGACAGGCCTTTAATCTTACAATTCATCTTCCTAATATTATAACTATTAAAATTTAGATAAATGTTTGTTACTAAGTATCTCTAGAAGTTTGTCACATGTATTTTACATAGTCTGGATGAACACATACGCTTATAATTAGATTTTTTTCATGCGAACGGACTCGCGCGCCACAGCTAGTTTCTTAATAGCTTTATATCGTGTATGCGACATTTGTATGAAATAAAAATGACTGAAATATATTATGTTTTGGTGTTATTTATTTTAGCAATGATTTTTTTCCCTCAGAGAGGTGAAGCCGAAGCTGGACATGGACCTGCAGGAGGAGGAGGAGCGCCAGTTCGCGCCCGACCTGCTCAACAGCACCGTCTACATCATCTCCATGGCGCTGCAGATCTCCACCTTCGCTATTAACTACAGGGTACGTGTTACATGTCTCATATTTAACCATGAAATTCTACAACTCAAATATTTGTACTAACTTTTACCGTCAAGGGTCACTCCTTTGCTCTCTTATGATAAAATACACCACACTCATTTTGCCTAAAAATCCTGGATTGATGGCGCTTCGATTGCCTCTTATGAACGGAAAATTGGTCTCACACTTCCGAGCAACATCGTGATGGTTTTTGGTATTGTATATTAACTGTTGCCCGCGACTTTGTCCACGCAATATTAAAATTAAAAATACTTCTGTGAAAGTCCGGTCGATATTGGTCCAGCCGTTTCGGAGTTTACCCGGAACAAACGCGACTTGCGAACAGACAGACAGACAGACAAAATTTTTTTAAATGCGATTTTCGCTATTAACAACGCAAATGCATCATCTTCCCAGAATCTTTTGATATTACACATTTAATTTTATTATATGTATTAGCTTTCGCCTGCGACGTCGTTTGCGCGGAACTAAAAATTACAAACGCAAGTAGCCTATGTGTTCTTCCAGACTCTCCTCTGCATATATGCAAAATTTCATCGAAATACGTTCAGCCGTTTAGGCTACAAACTCTAACAAACATCCATACATCTATCTAGATTTTCCCATTTATATTATTAGTATGAAATATGATAGATTAAGGGCTAACAATTAAATGCCTGAAGAACGAAACTTTAATTAATTTAAGAAATCATATAGTCGGGAGTGTTTTAGTTAAAGTGTGCGAACTTGGCATAAGAGACTAGTAAAAAAGGAGTGTAGTCGGGGTTAAATGAGAAACTCGTGTGCAGGGCGAGCCGTTCATGGAGGGTCTGCGGGACAACAAGCCGCTGCTGTACAGCGTGGCGCTGTCGGCGGGCGCCGTGCTGGCGCTGGCGGCCGGCGCGCTGCCCGACCTCAACAACGTCTTCGAGATCGTCTACTTCCCGCCGGACGTGAGTGCAACACAACGCCCACACAACGCCTTCATTTTGTTGTAATCACCAGCTCACTACATGTCCCCAAGTCCCCAAGTCCCCAAGTCCCCAAGGCCATAGTCAACCACGTTGGCCAAGTGCGGGTTGGTTGACTTCACACATATCTTTAATTCCTTCACCGATATGTGCAGGTTGCATCACGATGTTTTCCTTCACCGTAAGAACGTCGGGTACATTATGTACATAAGAAAATTCGAAAAATCGAAAATCACATCGGTACATGGCGGGATTCGAACCCAAGACCTGTAGATTGCAAGTCAAGTGCTTAAACCACTGAGCCACCGACGCACTGTACACCAGCATATGTACACCTTTATTTATTTAATACTTTTTGCACAAATATAATAAGGGCCAGTCCCACAATTCTTGTAAATTGTCATATAACAATCCAACGTATAAAATATGTGAAGTATCGGATTTTGGTACTCTCTTTAACAGTGGCGTCATTTTTAAGCTATCGAGTCTCAATCAGCCAGTGGTGGGACAGACCATAAGTATATGTCAGCAATCACAGAATAATTATTTCTTTAAAAAAAGCCCTACACTTATGACGCACTTTAGACTATTTATTTTTACGCTATTAAACTTAGGCTTAAATAAAATTGATACATGTCGGAAAGAGATCATAAACTACAAGAGGTCAACATTAAGGTTACTATGGTAATTTTGACATTCGCAATTGAGAATTCGACAAATGTAAGCAATGAAATAAAGTTTTTATAATTGCATGCGGATAATGCCGCACGGGAATAGCTAGTATATTTGTATTTTTGTTGCAGTACCGAGTGATATTAATACAAGTGCTGATAGCGGACATGTTGTTCGCCTACCTGGCGGACCGCGCCTGTCTCTGGCTCTTCGGCGAGGGCCGTGCGCACTCCCCCGCCTAGTGCGTGCTGCCCGCCTAGTGCGTGCTGCCCGCCTAGTGCGTGCTGCCCGTGTAGTGCGTGCCGCCCGTGTAGTGCGTGTCGCCGCTCAACAAGTGCATTTATAAATAATGTGAATGTGACCCGTATTCTGAGATAGTTATTGAATAAAATGTATTAGTAAATTATTTATGTGTTGTCTTGTTTAACTTCGATTAACGGATATTATATAAATAAATGGATAAGGCACTATAGTATTGGTTTTTATTTATTTACAAACTTTACACTATTAGCGGTTCATGACAGGTACAATTTACATTTTTGACATTTACCCTAGATGTTACCATACTATAAAGTCGAGTAAATTGTTTGAATCATAATCTCTAGTTGCTTATTAAATTTTATTGTTCTCATTCACATTGTCGCATAGCGTCGCTACGTCTTTGTTAATATGAATGAGTGGTAGCATAAAATCCTTAATGGTACCAATGTCCGTGTCCCGCCGCGCCGAGACCGCCCCAGCCGAGACCGCCCCAACTGTGACCGCCCCAACCGAGACCGGACCCACCGAGACCACTCCAACCGAGACCGTGGTCCCAGGAGCCGAGACCAGTGTATATGTTAGTGTGCACAGGGGCGGGGGCTTGCCATACAGGGGCCGCGATAGCTTTGGTGACGACGGGGGTCAAGACCTGTTGAGGATGGGAGGCGTGTCCTATTCTCTTGACCACGGCGTTGAACCCTGATACGGGGTCGGCAGTGTAGTCGACGACACGTATGGTGCCGTCGGGTTCCGCCAGCGAGTATGAGCCTTTCACGACGTCGCCCTCCCGCACCTCCGACTGAGCCTTATTGTCTCCGGTCACTGGATCGTTTACCGCGTAATTAAATCCATAGTTTGGATTAGCCTGAGAAAAAGGTAAGTCAAATTGAAAAGATAAGAGATAATTGTGCTGATTTAACACATTTCTATTATAAAATTATACTTACATAACTACCAACCGTCGCTAGACCGTACGAGCTGTACGGAGCCGCCACCGCCGCGCCCAATACGCAGCAAATCTATACAAACAAAGGTTTTATAAGAGAAAGGTGGCAAACGAACGGCGGAAACATAGAGTTGGTCAACGACGTCCATAGACATCCGCTACAGTAGAGGAACTACAGACGCGTTGCCGGTTTATTGAGAGGAATACTTTTTTCATATTTTGATCGTAGAAATACTATAGAAAACGTATTTTGCAAAACATAATTTTATTTTTAATAAATAGCATCTGCAGTTCGTCTTGTCCATGGGCCTCTTATCGAATATTTTTATCCGATCCGTCGTTTGCTGCCTTATTTAAAAAAAAATAAAAAAATAAACTCACTGCTATGTAGTGGAACATGTTGATGATATAAAGTACCGAAGTAAACACCTTTTTATTTCTGTTACATTTCGTTTTATACATGCAGCGACCAAGTTATTGGTTCACATGTCGTTTTCCTTCGAATTTTCACGCTCATTGATTATTGTATCACGTTTGAATGTTTGCTAATATATTACATTTTAGTTATTAAATCTGAACCTGATAATTAGCAGTTTTCAGTTAATTATAATTTACTAACTAATACAGTTATTACATGTTTTAAAATTTTAAACATACATAAGTTATTGAAAAATGTCGTAGTTTTATCATTAGCAATTGAAATAACAGATTACTTCAGAAAACTTTACGCTTGAATAGATTTCAGTTAATTCATTCGTATTAACTATGTTAGGTCAGTTTGCGCCAATAACATTGCAAAATGTATTAGACAAATGTTATAATTGTTATTATTGTAACACTTTACGATTACAAACTCTAGATGTTTCTTCTAACCCTCCTGATCAAGTAAAAGGGTTTAAAAACATGCTTAAAGTAACAATGTCTACAAAATAGCTGATCACTTTATAAACTGTTTGTCTAAAGTTATGTAATATTATTAAAACAAATGCAATGTAAATACAATTATGAGTACAATGAAGGGTATGTACTCTTATACAATTTTCCTTTCACAGAAAATCCATCATAAGTATTACATGATGGTGCAATTTAGCTAGTGAATCGTAATTTATAGAGCATTGCAGTTGCAAGTAATTCGGCTTCTCTCGACCGCCTCATTACCCCTTTTCAGTTGAAACACTCTTTCCACTCAGACTTACACAAATTCACATTTGCAATCAGAGCCCGGAGAAAAGTACCCCCCGCACCGCCCGCAGCCCCCCGCGGCCCCTCGCCCAACCCACGCCGCCTTTAATTAACAGAAAGTGGTTCATTAGAGCTTATTCATTAAAGCAAGGAGTAATTAGCGAACTCTAATGAATGCTGTAATAATGTAAGAGCGGCCGCGTCGGACTGCGGACCGACTTCTAGATTAATCCACGGCCAGGGCATAATTTAGTAATGGCGTTAATTTATTACTGACTTGATTGCGGGATAAACGGTCCACAACTCACCTACTGCTACTGCCTACTGGCTACTGGCTGGACTTGGGATGACGTAAATAAAAAAGGAAAGCGCTTAGTATTGTAACGGTAATGTTACTATTCTGAGTTTTAAACTGTAACGACTAATTAATAATTGCTGCATTTAAAAAGAAAATTAATTAATTCACATTTTCAAACATTTCGATTTCAATTTCTAATTGTCGCTAGTAGATTATAACATTATTTTATGTTACAGTTTGGAATAAACATTCATTTTCATGGTTTTATTCAATTTTCTTATAAAAAAACTTCTGATGAAAATTACGTTAAAGCAATATGCGCTGAACAATAAACGAATCAAAATCAACAAGATGGATTGAAAAACATTATTTTAATTAGATCATAGTTTGAATATTCCGAGCTATTTTGCATTCGCTCGAAGCGTAGATAAGGCAATTTCCATAAAGAAAACAGTTTCCTTTAGACAGGGTCATATTTTCCTTCATCAGTATTCCTTGAAATACGTTGTTAGATTGTTAGTGAAGTAATATGTTGATGTCGAAGATAGCGGCATGTTCGGCTTCGGACAACGGACACGCATAATGATGTATGCTAACCATATTAAAGTGTACTGTAATAAGCCGCTGAAAGAAAACACGGTACACTCAGCGACAAAAGTTGTGCGGTAATAAAAATCTTAGATACACTTGCTTTTTTAGTGAATTTAAATTTTCTGTTAAGAAAAATAATATGTGTACATTAATTTATGGTTATATTCTAACAGCTTTCTATTAAAGATGTGAAATTAAGCAATTTAAATACCTTTTTTAAATAGTCTTGAAGAAATAAGTTCATATACTTAAAAGCTTAGACGATCGTCTATTTTAGATTGAATATTTATTACTTATGAAAATTAAAATACGAGTTATAAAAAGTTGAAAAATATTTTCATAAATGAGTGTAACTTATGTTGACTAGTGTACAGTGGACAAGTCGAATCTGAACGATCCTCGCAGACTTCAGATAACGACTGCTTGAGCCTGGGGGTCGGTCCACATCTACTTGTTAATTTTGATATGTCTCTCAATTATTTTAATACATGTATTTCACATCAAATATGTAGTACGATAAAATTAAAGTCCATAACAATATGTCATTCTAAGAGCGAGCGCACACCTTTGACAAATCTATCGCACGACTGTGTTTCCGATTGTCGATCGTTTCGCAGCCACTTTAACAACTGAAAATCGAGTAGTGACGCCTCATAACCTCATAGGAATCAAAGCGAGACTAAACAGTCATGCGATAGTTTAATTTCAGGTGTGCGCATGCTTTGAATGTCATAAACATTGAGTATAAAACCTGACGCTGGTCGCTGCAAAATTCTTCTATTTCATTTGTTCACAAACCAATATTCAGGTATAAAAACAACATTAAAAACCTTTCTCATTTTTTCACTATTCATCAATATACGGATTTTTAGAGTAGCGTGAAAATGTATGGCCACACAACTCCTTGCTTAAGCGGATGTAACTCATTAGTTACGCTTAGTTAGAGATTTTCATTTAAATTATTTAACGATAAACATTGCTGTTATTAATTAGATCTACCGGAAAACTCCGTCAATTATATTTAAGCAACATTTTTTTTACATTTAGAAATGTTTAGTTAAATACGTTTGAGTTGAGACCATATGAGAATTGTTGAAAAGTTAACTGATTTTAATATGACATGTTTAATTTTATGCCAAGTTTCGTGGCCCACCAATGTACAATGGCAGCATTTAGACAGCATTGCGCGCTAGTGTTGGGCTGCAGGCGGCGACTGGCGACTGGCGACTCTATTGATTAGTCAGATCCGTGCTGCATCATTCATTCATCGTGTCCACGCGTCACTCACGAATCTCGCCATTTTTCGCCTGAGCCTCGTACATATTTGATGGTGCGTCTGTCAGGAAGGAAGTACCGCCGTAATTGGTCCTGCCGGCGGATAAATTTTGACAAAGCTTCACTGCTTTTGGCGCAGGAAATGCTTTAATGAGATCTATTGAAATATTAACTGAAAGCTAAGGTTTTGTTCAAATATTGAAATATTTTAATGTTAAAAACGTCACAGTTTACTTGCTATCGCCCGCGACTCCGTCTGCATGGATATAAAAAAGGAGTTATCCTATGTGTTCTAACAGACTATCCTAGAGGATGCCAAATTTCATAGAGATCCATCCATCTATCCAAACATTCGCATTTATTTATTAAATGCATAATATGCATTCGAAATACATAAATGTATCTAATCATCGCTATATGTGTACATTTATGTTTTTTGAATCATTTCGAGATACATCTGAATATATTCAAAAGTTATATTAAAAAGGTAAATTGTTGAAAAGCGTATGTTTTGTAGTACAACATATTTTCGAAAACAAGCCGCCGAACAATGGAGTAATCCGATTGTCTGCGCGTCCAAAACTCGTGTTCAATAAGTATAAAGTGCGACCGTCTGTGTGTCCTTGTGTACTAAGCCACGCGTGTTCAATGCCCACCACCACGCACCGATAAAGTTTAAAAATAAATAATGGACTAGCCAGTATCACAAACTGCTCGTTTCGAATAATTCCTATTAATTTTTATTTTTTTTTTCTATTTTTTCAATGACTTTAAGTAGGTATTCGTCTGTTCCAATTATTTTTATTTGCACTGTAGATATTAGAATTGCAGACGAAATATCTGGGTACTAATTAGCAATTTCCGCTTTTAATTTCATCAAGGGTCTTAAAAAAGTCCCCAGAAAGGCTTGTATAATGATTTAATTTGCAATGTTAAGCGGCGCCGGCCATCTGGTCTCTTGCTTTTTAATTCAATACAATGTCAAGGAATACTTTTTGTAGGAAAGAAAACAGCAAGTATGGCGGTTAGTCCGAATTAAATTATAATAAAATTAGACGATTTGTTTTGATTAAATTTAACTTGACGCTCTGATTGCAAACTGTATTTTAACCAAATTAGAGTAATATAGATTTTGGATTTATTTTTATTAAAATTTATATTTCTTATTCATATCTGTCACGAAATTGTGTACATATGTAGATTGTAGCTTTTCTTGCAGCAAGGTTTTGTTTAAGCGCCTATGTAGTTTGTAGTTGCAATTTTACTTATATGCTTATATACTAGTCGGTTGTGTACAGTTAGTTTTGCCTACACATGCACAGTTTAACTGTTCAGTTAATATTATCAGTGACCGTCTGTAATGGGCCGCCTGTAATAAAAACTCTCAGTAATATGTTTCATTATGGCTGTAAGCCTTTACAGTTAATCCCTTACCAGAGTGAATGGTTGCTAGCATTTTAAATATTTATGTTGATTTGTTTCTAAATTTTAAAGCAGAACTTAGATGAAGCATAGACTATTTTTTTCCAACTTAAATTCTCAACAAGATGCCGTGCTTGTACACTTTAAAGTGTTTGTTTTACTAATATAACTAGTGTTTGCCCGCGATTCCGGCCGCGTGGAATTAAAAAAGCAAAAGTGAGTAGCCTATGTGTCCTTCCAGACTATCCTCTATATCTGTTCCAAATTTCATTGTAATCCGTTCAGTCTTTAAAACGCTTTCAAACATCCAAACAAACATCTAAACTTTGGCATTTATAATATTAGCATGATGTAAAGGAAATAAAACAATAGGATAATTTACAAAATTTAATATCTCTTCCTGTCGCCGTATTCCTTAGGCTAAGTATAGTTGCAATATCGTTCTTTGTGTAAGTACTGGTAACACCATAACTGTATTGTTACTAAACAGATTGCTGCAGCCTTGAGAGAGCACTCAATACCTGATAATGGTAAACACATTGTAATAACAAGGCTTTGTAATAATGTCTCTCAAAGTCGAGCAATTTACAATGAGTAAAATAAAGGTATTTATAGATGGCAAGATTATCTAAACGCTAACATATGTACTCAATAAGTACGGTAATTTAAATACGGATTAAACTATGTATTCTGTGGATTTCTAATCTTCAGAGCAGAAGTACACATTTTTTATTTCAATAACAAGAAGGAATGTCAGCGTTTATAAATTACACTAACTGTTTAAATAATTGATTCAAACGAGTCATGATATCGATGGTAAACCACAGTTATATACAGAGTGCACGGTTACACGGCTGGAAACTTCAACATTGGCATCCATCATTATTGCTACGAAGATCGCGCCTTAATAGGTACGAGATGTGTCTACTTATGATCTAAATTCTTTAATACTAATATTTACAGTTTCAATGATTAAGTAGCTATTTAGAAGTTTAAGTAACAGCGCGTCATTATAAACGAAATAACAAATTTATTCGAGATTTTATTTACACGCAAGATTACAAATCACAGAGTGTAAGACGTTAGTACGCACCGACATATGTTACCGGTTGGCAAGAATAATAATGAAAATGTCCATAATTGTACCAAAACAATAGACAAAATATCCACAACGTAATAAAAAATAAATAAAAACACCAATAAATTCCATCACAACTTATTGAAATACTATTCTTAATGGTCTGTGATTTGTATATTATTTTTAACTAACATACACTGATAATGTTAAAAAAGTTCTTTGTTCGATGTTTATTGCGTTTACCTCATAAGCGCATACGATTCATTTAGGTTTAAATACTTCCTAATATGTTTTAAGTACACTGATGTTTCCATTGAATAATGTTGAAAGCATAAACGTTTGTTTATACTTTATAGATTAAATTATTTAGTGAGTGCTTTAATATGTAACAATATCAATACATAGGATATGCATTTGTTCACTCACATCTACAATATCACTTTTATTATAGAAACAACACGCTTTGTGTTTAACACATCTCATTCCGAACAACGCTAAGTTACAGATTTCAATAGAAATTTACACAGCAGCGAGTAAGTTTTACATAAATTGCAATTTTCACAACCGAAATTAAATATGTAAAGAGTACAGTCGCCAACACGATCGTTACACGGATATTTGTGCGCGATGGTACTGTTTACAAATCTGATAAAAGTGTAATGAGCGCGGCAACGACCGTGTTAGTGGTGTACTGAAATATAACTTAATAACTCACTGGCGTTGTAAGAAATATTACTAATCGTACCGTTCCTCAGTCGAAGGATACGTTTAGTAATAATATTACATTGGCCGTTTTGAGTCCGATTGTCTTTTGTCACAACACTATCACTCTGTGTCCCCTGTGGGCGAGGGGACGCGGGGCTTGAGAGATGAGGAGTTGGTCGTGAGGTCGAGGGCTGGCTCGTGGCACGCTGCTCCGAGGGTTCGGTAGTCGGTGCTGGTGTGCGGCCGGGGACACGGCTGGGGACACGGCAGTTGCGTGTGTCCCGGCAGTGAGTCCGGCTCTGGCAGGCAGGTGTAGTTGGGCGGTGTCCAGCAGCCCGCACTCCCCGACCCTACCGGTGCCGTCGCCTGTGCCCTCGCGCCCTTAGCGCTCAGGTACGAGCACGCCATCATCTGGAACAATGTTATAAAATATTTGAATACAAATTACTTTAACTTCAGTTTCGTTAAAGACATGGTAAGTGTGTAGAAACCTTCTTGATATTGTGCATCAATGTTTGTAATCCAGACATTTTTTTCTATTACATTGCAAATATTGTATGAATATATTTTGACTTATACACAGAGCAAATTCGCAGCATTTACAATGTGTGCATATGAAATTAAACTCGAGTCTGACCAGTTTGTTAGTGTTTCGTAACTCTATAGTGTTTCGATAGTTTCAGTTAGAGAAAATGAAATTGGTTTGTTACACAAATAAGACGAAAAATTTAGCAAATTTTGTTCTCCGCAGTCAATAAAGTAAGTTACGTCGACTTCCAGACGCGATTCGCTTACGTTAAAGATGAGCTTTACGTATATTACTTGTGTAATCTCCGAGAGAGTAGATTGAAGTAAAACAGGGCTTACATAAATAATGAAATATGTAGTATTATGAGACGGGAGGCCTAAAGAATTCGCGAGTGGGGCTCTGTAATCACGCTAATGGCCAATGCGCAGCGTCCCCCCCCCCTTCGTGCCGCACCTCCCCCCGCGCCCCTCCATAGGCTCTTACGCTAATGCAAAGTTCGCGCAGGAGTAGTTTACTGCTTCAGTCTATCACACGTCCAGCGACAGATTCTCGCTCCTGCTAGTCCATGCCAAAAAGGCCTCATATTTCGTAAGTCACAATTTACATCAAATACTAGTCATAATTTCTTAACTTTCTTGGTTCGATTCCATTCTATGTGCGCGTAAACACTGTTCATCTTCTAATGCGTAAAAATAAAAATTGTTGTAATAAGGAATATTTATACCGTTGCGTTTCTAATAAGACGTTCGATGATAGTTATAAGCAATTTTAATATGTATGTCATAGCGGTGTTTTGAAATATGCTTCATTTACAGAGTTCAATCTGTAAAATTGATTATGCTGTGGTCAGTTTAAATTTTTAAACATAACGTGCGACTCGCCTGCCGATTAATAGGCGTGAAACGACGCTTCGGTTAGCGACCCGAGCTGCAATTGATTTACCCAAAATCTACTTCGTACGTACACGTTCAGTGTAATAGTAATTTCATAGTTGATACAGCGAACAAAGGTCCGTACCTACACACCGAACAGGCAATAGTTCTCCGGAACAGCTGCGCGGCACGCGGAGTGTTCTAACAATGATATTGTAACTTTAATATTTATTACACTTGATGAACTCGGCGCAAGTTAGTGCAAGTAATACAGCGCTACGGAACGTCTACGACGAATAAGGAGGCGCTCGCATCGTGCACTCGTATGAAAAAGACGAACGGGCTTATATAATTTTAAAGCTCCGATTCGCCCTCGTCTTTAAAACAATGTACGGTTTAATTAACTCGACGTCGTTCGGCTACGTTAGAGCGTATAGTGCATAATTAAACCCTTTCCGTAAACGCTTCGGTTAATATATTTAAGCGGTATCGCTTCAGGAGACCTAAACTCTCCTATGAGAATAAACAATCGCCACAGGCGGTGTGGACGAAGCCGCCGGACAAACGAATTAGTGGTGCCATGCTCCCTCTGCCCCGCGCCGTGCACCCCGTGCCCCGCGCAACCCTCGGCACGGCTCACGTTGCGATTAAAATATAATTAGGCGCTCGCCAATCGTTTCGCCATTGAGCCAGGTGGCTACGGAAATTAAACAACCGTTTCTGATAACCCTAGTGTTGTTGTGGAATACGCTTATTATCTAATAATTAGTCCGGACGGTACTATCTCGCAGCTGATTAATCATTACGGCGTGCGAGGGTTAAAAACCGAGCGGGAAGTCGAGGCGTGATGGATGCGTCGGAGGCGCGGGTCGCAAGACCCAGGTGTAACGCTGTATTAATTACGATCGGTTAGACATCGCACTATAAATCACACTCGCCTAGTGCCCAGCGCCACGTACTCGTACCTCCGCTAATGAATTCAAACGTGCCGCGATAATTGCGTACCTAATTACGACCGCAGAGCCGTCTAATTTATCACTGTCGGATTATGAATCGGGAATGGCGTTAATTAAACATGCATAATATTTGTGGAGGCGACGTATCGGCGCGCCGCGGGCTACGTGAAACAATTAGCTTTCAAACTAATACAGGGCTATTGAAACTCGGGCGGCGGCGGTCGCGTATTCTCTACGGACGGTCCTGCCGGGGCAGGCGACGGGCGACGGGCGACGGTCGTGCGATTACAATGAAAATTATCCACTCGTGTCCGCGTAACTTTGTGTTGATTTATCCGCGCCGTGTCCCGTTTGTATTGCGATTTAGGCGCTTGCTTTGTTGTAACTTCTACTGCTGTTTAGAGTTTCTCAAACTCTAATGAAATCTGAATTGTCTTTATATTAAATGTTACGACAGTCAACGCATTAAGTCAAATGAAATTGCTGAATCTCTGACACAAAATATCAAACTCAGAAGCTTCTGGAAATAATGAACATCAGTACAATAACAGATGAAATTTAAGATTGTATTCATATTGATTCATTATGTATGGTTAACCAATGTCAAAATCATCCACGATATGTTCTTTGATATTCGAGTGAATGAATTTGGTAAAACAATCAATAACTTGCATTTTCCCATGGCCAAAATGAAAACAAAAAATGACTCCTAGAAGCAATGTACAGTAAGCATGAAACGTATATCATAAAAATCTCATAAATGATAATGTGAACAGTTACGATGACGGCATTGTTTTCTAAGAAATAACAATGTAAACAAACACATTTACACGCGTAGTTTAATATCGGTATTGAATGGTAAACGCCTCCGCGAGCACAATACTACGTCGGCATTCCATTAACTAGTTGATCAAACATAGCCGCCGCATCCCTCGGGTAAGGGCCGCCACACACTGCCCGCGTAACTACTGGGTACTGTTACTTACTGGTCAACTTCGTTAAATTTTAGCGATGACATTGAAAAAATGTAAAGATGTTCTCCAAATTCAAAATATTAGAAATCAAAAATTAACATTTGGGAAATAGATACATAATAGTTATTTTAATTATTTTTACTTTTCAAAATACCATCAAAATATCTTCAGATGTTATAATAATAAAAAGTGTTATGCATACATATAAGAATTTACATTACTTTCATAACATCGTTTTTTTTTCAATACCATGTTTATTCAAAATATTTAGGGAAAGTTAGCTTGGCCACCGCTGTATATGTGCAACCTACCTATCCGTAACGATTTCAATCTGCACCGGCTTCGGCGGGTATCGTATCTATTGGAACAACAGCAACTGTTTGCTCGGGTCCAGGGCGGGCGACGACGGGTAGCGCGAGGCCCGGCCGACTTTCGCGACACAATGCCACACTAGTCCTAAATAATTTAATAGTTTTAGGCGCAACGTGAAGCGGTCCGCAAACAAGGGCCGACAGCCGACATCGTGCGATATTGTCGCCACGAGCCGAGCCACGGGAGCTGCGACCATCTTGCGGCGAGCCCGTAATTGATTATGCATGTATCTCTGCTAATTGATTATGTAACGTCCTTTAATACGACACACTCATGAATTGTATTCAATTAATATACCATTCGTAAGTAACAGATTTGTATGACAACAGTAATTTCAATATAGCTTTGTTTATAGAATCTACCAAAAAAGTGGTAAAATCATATCATTCAATCAAATCAACGTTAAATTAAGAAGTCGCGATACGGTCAGACAATCTGTTTAAAGTGATTCTATAAATACGTTAGAGTGAGATAGGGTAGCGATGAGATAGCAGAGTGATAACGCGGGCGGGCGGACGGCGGGCGGCGATAAATTAGGGCGGCTAGGGCGGTGGCGTGCGCGCGGGCCGTTTGTCGCGTCGCGTGCGCGCGCGCTCATTGCTTATTCATGTCGTAAGGCACGCGATCGCGCGCCGTGCCTCTGGACACGCGCGCAATGTCGCAACACAACCCAAACGCGTCTCAAGCTGCACAAACTTTATCTTGCTGTGTGACGAATGAAGTTCTTAGTGATAGAAACAGAAAATCATATCGACATTTTTGAGAAAATAAACGTCTTTTTAGTTAACTGAGTTTTAAAGGTTTAGTACTCGATAGTGATTAATGTGTAAAAATTGTTGTTTAAATGAGGCAATCTCAAGATACGTGTTGTAGATGAGTGGTTCGCGGGCGCGCATTAATCAAGTCGTCTTCAGCGACCTCTGACGGCGCTGGCTTGCCCTCGCCACTTGTGAAGCGATTACGAGACACCTTTCTGTTTATCATAATTAATGGATATATAGCAACTTACTTTTAATGACTGCCTTTAATTTTTTTTACTTGTGTATTTTTCAATTAGTCGTGTTTTGGATGAACAACATTTGATTTACAATTTTAAATAGTATTATGCTACTATTGCATTGCACTGCATGTGAATATTTGATGTAAGGGGTACAATTTATGTAATATTTTTGTTTTTTCCTTAACATGCAAATTTTTTTCAGGTTTGTTTAGCCCAAAGCAGAGCAGAAATGGTATGTATGGCTGTCAAATGCGGTAAAGGCACCTGTTTGTCAAATAACGAATACTGGCACATGACTTTTGAGAAATAACTGTGCTTCAAAGGATTTAACATAATTTACGATAACGAGCGATCGACTTGGTCTCGTACTTCAAAGCCACCGTTTCAGTTACAGTTTATTATTAATAAAATTTGGTCGGGTTGTCGAGGTGGAGGGTTAGTGCGGGGTGTGCGGGGTATGCTAGCGGGCGCGCGGGGGAGGGTAACGAGCCGGCCCGCGCTCGTTATCGGCCGCTTCGGCCGGTCACCGCCGCGGAAAATTCGCCCGAAACTGACGCGCGTGAAAATTTAATGAACGGCCGGACGCTAGTTAACTAAAAGGTAAAGTGCACCCTCTTGACGTGTTCGGTAAATATTAATAGTGAGTGTGCTAGCGTGAGCCATTAAAAATGCACGAGTCCGCGGATACGGGCCTGCGTCCGGCAGCCA